AACACAATTGATATAATTTTGGACCGGTTGTCACTAACGACACAAGTAATATTAGCCTTGGAGTTTCTATTTCTTCCAGTTTTCGTCGCTAATCAACACATGTGTTTTTTTTTTTTAATCATACGGCGACCATCGACATTTACACAGACTCGCTCTTCTTCTGCGTCAGATGTGTATCAGATACAGTATATGCTCGGTACATATATCTCGACTAATCTGTCTTGTCTGTCTGTGCACTGCTTTCCTTTTGTTCTATTCTATCCCGGAATAAAAAGGACAACTGCACAACTCCCCATAGAACATGTGTGGAGTATATAGTACACTATCAATCCAAACATCCACCATCCTCCTTCTCCCTCTCTAGTCAATCAAGCATGACGCGCTCCAAGAACTTCCACTCACTCCTCTCGCTCTCCCCATCCTGACCCTCACCCTCTTGTCCCCAACCACCATCATAATCACTGACCACCCACGGCCTCTCCACGCCCACCGCCCCCGCCACTCTATCCGCCAGGTCCACCGCCGCGCGCAACAACCCCGCCGACGCGCCGAGGTTGACCGACCCAAAGAAATGGCCCTTGGCCTGCGGCCCGCACCCGTCGGCGAGGCAGCAGACAAACTCCAACAAACCCGTCGCGAGGTCGTCGATAGCAGAGGCCTCGGAGAGGAGTTCGCCGTAGATGCAGTGGATGGCGAAGTGGGTGAGGTCGCCGCCCGAGCAGCGCGACATGGCGGAGAGGACGCGCGGGGTGTGCTGTGCGTAGATTCTCGAGAAAAGGGCCATGCCGCGCGCGGCTTTGGTGGTAGCAGGAGCAGGAGCAGTAGCGTCTCGCTGGGTTCCATCCTCGGACTCGGTGGTGGCGGTGACAGCAGCGCGGAGTGACTGGTCTGTTTCCAGGACGGCCGAGACGGCCGGGTGTGTCTTCTCAATGGCCTGTTGGAGCGTGAGGAGGGCGTTGATGGCCTAGACACCCCAAGGGTCAGTTTTCTCGTAAAAGAAAAAAGATGTGTTTACGTGGCCTCTGGTAAGACCGAGGAACCAGTAAAGTGACTTGACTTACCCTTGGAAACCCCACCAGCGTACTGGCCTTCAAGCATGCCTCCCGGATCCGTCGTGCGACAGCGACCAGCTCCTCCGTCTCCGTCTCCGCTGCGTCCGCGTCCTCCTGCGCAGATCCATCCCTCGTGCTGCTGCTGCTGCTGCTGCTCAAATACCCCCACAACTCCCCGATCAGCTTTTCCTTGTGGAAAGCCAACAGGAGCGCAGTGGTCAGGATGTACCACAGGGACGAAGACGACGAAGACGACGAGCTTGTTGGGGAAGGTTCTGTCGTGGACACCTGGGAGAAGATCTCTTCCAAGGCAGAAAAGTCAACTTTGCCCCATGCGGGTGGCTTAACCGTGGCAACATCTGTCGCTGAGGGTGTCGAGGTGACAGAGACGGTCGTCATCGTCGACGACATGGAGCCTGGAGTATATGTGCCCTCGCCGCTGGACAACGAGTCAATGCTCTCCTCGTCCTCTGATCTCGGCAACGACGGGATGGACTGGATGTATGTTTTCCTGGGCGGAGACGCCGTCCACGCGCGAGCAAAGATGGTGAAGCCTCTTGGCTGTGCCATGGCAAGGCTGTGACTGCTTCTTATCTGGGGCACACGAGAGAAAGGGAGTGGGTGATTGGTGAGGTTGACAGAAGCGTGGTGTGGCAATAGCAATCAGGTATCAAGAAAAGAGAAAGGAAGAAGAAGAAGATATATAAAAATTATTTGGCAGATTTTATGTAGCTGGAATGGACTGTATCGTTCGACGCTGTTTGTATACTGCCTGGGACGCGACAGTGAGAGAGACTGATCAATACCGCGTGCTTATCAGGCTGAGCGGGGCAGAAATAAGGGGCCAGAGCCTTGGGGAAATCACGGTGTATATAGGATATGGGTCTCCTGAGAGCAAGGCGCGGTATGTGCCGGTCATTTTAACAACGGGCTTCGCGCTCTTATGCTTCGGAGCTGGAATTGTCGCCGTAACACCATGACAGAGGCGGGAAGAGCGACAATCGGGAGGCGAATCCAGGGTCGGCCAGGACTCGGAAAACGCTCTGCTGTTCTTCCGCTGCACCGGATGGTTGAAGCACCAATGGGAGATTTTGTATCGGCTCCCAGAACAATCCCCGAATCACGTGTGGCGATATCGAATGGTTATCGGTCGTAGTATTGCAAGGATGAGCCTCAGGTCATGGTAGCAGGCTTCCTCCATGTAGATAGACACCTCCAGTGGAAACCCACCACGTCGTGTCAGATGGCCCAGGCTTCCACATCATCGTCCTCGTGGATAAAGGGCTCGTCGACCTGCTTGATGCCCAAATCCCCGCACAGAACACATTGCTCCGCGACCAATCCGTCCAACTCGGCAACTAGCTTCTGTCGCTGCACGCCCACACTCAATCCCTGGTTGACTTCCGTCTGAAGGTCCTTGATCCGCTTTCTCTTACTGCTTCCCGAACTCTCAAGCACGCGCTTACCCAGGCAGTCGCTGTGGAAGGCGTGCTGACAAGGAAACACAAAGAACTGCCGGCTCAAGACCGGCAGCGTGCAGATCCAACACCGCTCGCCAGCTTCCACAATGGCATAACGGTGATCCAGTGCCGCAATCTCGGCTTTGATCTGCTCGGCCGTGTGTTGCGAGAGGTCCATTTCCTGCTTGAGGCTGTCAATGTGCCGCGAGTACTCCTCCAGTGCCTCACAGATCTCCTCTTTGAAATCGTCAATCACCACGAAATCGGGGAAGAAGGGAATCAGATCTTCGATCTTGAGCAGCTCGCATCTTTTTAGGAAATTGATTGCTTCTTTGATGGATGCAGCCTCCTTGATCTTCTTCTCGGCGATGAGCAGCCACAGTCGCTTTCTCACCTTGTCGTTACCCTCCAGACGATCCGCGACAATTGCGGCTAGATCAATGTCATCGTGCTGCAGTGCCAGTTCCACTGCTTGTTGGTATTGTCCCATGGTACTGTAGATGTGCACGCATGACTGCACTCGGTTATGTTGAATACATAGCCTCAACGCAAAGTCCGCATCGTAGAATGGAGGGGACGGTTGACTTTCCAGGTATCCCAACAGCATAGTTTCTGATGGCGACGGATGCGAAGCCATGATCGAGATGAGCGCGTTGTGGACAGAAGCAGGCACCTCGAAGTTGTTGGTCACCACAAAGTTCAGGTAACGCACGGCCTGGTTCTGGTTCAATGGCACATCGGCGTTCTCATTGTAGCTGAGAAGTGCGGGTATGAGCTTTTGCGGGTCGAGATTGCTCCGTCGCATCAAAATCTCTACCAGTCCAACTGCAACATGTGTCATGAGCACGTTACTATACCGATAGAACGTCTCGGGATTGCTCTGTTTGTTAAGAACCGACAAGGCCTCGTTCCATTTCTCTCGCTGCACCCAGTACGAAAGAACGTAGTCGTAGTCGGTGATGGTGTTGGCAAAGAACAGAAGCTCCTCTTCTCTGTCGTGACTCGAAATGACTTCATACACCGTCTTTGCATCCAGATCCGACTTGTACTTGGTCACAAATTCTTGGAACTCGCTTCGAGCCTTGTCCAAATCGCGTTGCGCACCTCCGGCGTCGGTGTGCTCGAGCAATTCTGCTTTCGTGGCGACCATATCGTCCAGCGAGTTCAATTTGGCCATGAAGATCTGCACCAGCCATGTTGCTATCATGACGCGCTGCATGATTGACGACTTCTTGTACGAGCCCAACTTGGCCAACAAGTATCTCCGCAGAGCTTCTTCTTGTCCATTGTCGATCAGGGACAGGCAGACTTCCTCAAATGCTTTGCTGCTCTTTCCCCACACGCTCGCGGCCTCCAGGTACTGGCCTTTGCTCGACAGGTAGTCTCCCGACGCAGTCGCCACAGAGTCCTTTTGTGCCGCTCCTTTGGCATAGCGAAGAGCCGAGTCGTAATCTTGTTGTTTCAGCATGATCTTCCAGACGTCTCGCTCCTCATCGTGGGCCACCACCTCGAAGATTTCTTGGTTGGTGAAAAGCCAATATGTATTCTTCTTCTGGTCCGCCACTAAGCCAAGCGCCGACTGTCCAGGTTCCAGCACCGCCTGATCGTAGACAATGCTTCCGTCAAGGCGATTGACAGCGACAATGCGACCTTCAGCAAGGGCCAGGACGTGCCATTGAGATAGAATGGCAGAGACGATGGGATCTTGTATCAGCTTTCGTCCTCCACGCGCCGAGATCGTTTCTGGAAACACGGATCGAGGGTGAAGTTTCGCGTCTCCAAAAATCTTCGAGCCTAGAGAGGACGATATAGGTGAGGTTAGCAGCTTGCCTGTCAGGACACCCTGCGAATACAGCCAGGCGAAACTGCGATATGAGTCCGGGGTGGTGTCTTGTGATTCGGGCGACACCGAAAAGGACGACGGCGCGGTGGCCGTGGCGCCAGTAGTGTCATGAGTGACGGGAGCTTCCTTTGAAAACAGCTCGGCGTAGATGGAAGCTGAGCCTTCCTTCCCCCGTCCGCCCGTCTTGCCGATCCAGTGACAGAGTCTTGAATGCGACGCCACAATCACCCTGCGTACGTCTGCCTTGGTGTCGATTGTCTCTGCCCAGAGGCCCGTGACGGCGCCGTCGGGGATCTTCCACACATGTGTGCAATATCGTTCTTCGCGGCGATAGAACTCGGACGCCGGCTCAATGTATGTCTCGTAAACATTCCCGTCCACTGCGCCGACCAAGATCTCCCGTGTAGAGGCCGTCGGTTGTGAGGGGTTCCAAGCAATAGACTCGATGGAGACGCCTTTTAGCCGAGACAGTGCTTTAGGTTGCTTAGACTGGCTGTGCAGGTAGAAGTTCTCCCCCAGGGTGGTGGTGATGATCAAATGGGACGCGGACGGGTCGAGGAACATGCGACGGATGAGGCCGACCTCGCTGGTCTTTTTGGGCAGGTCGACATCTAGATAGCACACACGGTGCACAACGTTCAGTAGATGATCTTTTGTCTGGGGACATTGAACGCAGCAACGAACACACACCATCAATGTCCGACGGACTCTCGAGGTCTATCCGCAAGATGCGCCCCGTGGCCAGGGCGAGGATCAGCACGTTGTTGGCGACCTGGCCGGCCACGAAATCCGACGCGATGTTGAATTGCAGCTGCACTCGTTCGACGTTGAAGATGGGAAGCGATGTCTCGATGCCGCCGCCCGAGCCCAAGCCGGGAGCCACATAGCCGTCGTCGAGATCCAGCGCCATTGCGCCGTGTTCAAAGGGGGTTCAACGCATTATGACCCGGCGGTGCGGTTCAGTGGTCAAGTCACTAGTTAGGAATAGGTCGTGGTTTAGTCACAGCTATACTTGAAAGGGTACGAGGTGTCTACAAGTACGAGGTACGTGGGTGAGTTGCTCGTCGATCCCGCAGCCACGGCAAGGCTGCGTCCTCGGCTACACGTGACTGCAAGGCTCGGAAGCAGAGCCTTTCCGAGAGACTGCTGACTGGGTACGGGACAAACGGGACAAACAGGACAAACAGGACAAACAGGACAAACAGAACAAACTACTTTCAGATTATCTTCAAAGGAGTCGTAATATGCGTGTGTACATTATCTCTATATGGTCCTGCTCTGGTAATGAATCAGGATCATTAATCCCCAAACGCCATCGCTTGCTTTGCTGGTGTGAATGAGAAGCGTAACTATTCTAACACATCAAGTCATTTGATATTCCAAACTCATTAGTCTGTTTCGTTTCCGAAATGTCACAGGAACCCCTCTCTACCGCTTTATTTAGCAGCAAACCGAGATCTGGCTCTCAGGTTTGCACCAAATTTCCACAACGTGAAGATGCCGACAATGCCGCCGACAGTGAGCCCTGCGAGCAAGCTGACACCACTGCCGACACCCAAGTTGTGGAACAAAGGACGGGAGAAGTGGATTGCACCAGCCGCAATTGACGAACGGGCAAAGTCGTTGCCCGCAAAAAGCGATGCGGCGTATTGGGGGTATGTCAAGGGGATGTAGATGAAGATACACTGGAAGAGGACGAAGATGCCGACAGTGAACACAACGACACCGAGCTGCAGATAACATCAGCAACTGTCCAATAGGGTGGGATGGGAAGACTTGAACTTACCGTGGGCACAATCCAGTGGATCTTTGGTGAGTTATTCCCAGTCCATGCAAACCAGAACAGCCCAATCGGCAAAAGTAGACTAGCCGGAAGGGCAGGGATGAGACGTCTCTCAGGCTCCCCGAGACCTCTGGTGCGAATCTCCGGCTCAAACACAAAGTGCAGATAGGTGACGTAGAGCGCAATTGCAATGCTGACACCGACCGAGATGGACAGGAAGATCAGACCAATCTCGCCTCCGTTCATGCCGTAGCCATGGGTGGCCTTGCCTGGGTTTCCAGTCGCATACACAAGGGGGAAAACTTCGAAGAAAGAGTAGAAGATGCTGTACATCAGGGCTGTGTAGAGACTGGTGAAGAGCACGGCAGGGTCCAGGATGTTAATCTGGGCTGGTCGCCAAAGGTTGCCAATCACCACCTCGTTGACAGTCAGTTTCTCCTGGTCAATTTCGGACTGCGACTTGAGGTTGTTGTTGCCCGTCAATTTACGAAGACGCGCAGCGCGGCGTAGCAGGATGTTGGAGGCAGAAGTCTCCGGCAGCAGGAACAGGAGAGAGATGTAGACCGGAGAGGCGAGCCAGACAATCTCCCACAGAGACCAATGCCAGTTGGTCGCAGGGACCGAGAAACCGGAAATGATTGGGCCAAGAGCCGGGCCTGCGGTTCGTTAGCAAGATTTCACGTAATTACAGATCCGTATGAACTTACCAGCTGTAGCGAATGCGGCCCAGCCAGTGAGGAAGTATGGCAGCTTCAGCAACGAGTAGATGTCGCCAATGGAAGCACCACCGGTCGCCAAACAGGGACTACCGAAGAAGCCTTGCAGGAAACGCAGAACTACCAGCGCAGGGAAGCTGTTGACGACGGCGGTGGGGATGGAAAGAACGACAAAGATTCCCAGGGTGATCATATAAGGCGGATTGCGGCCAATGATGGGAATTTCCGAGAGAGGGCTGAAGATCAGAGGCCCGATGCCGTATCCCAGAACGTACATCGACAGACCCAGCGCCGCGACGTTTGGAGAGACACCCATTTTCTCGACAATGACGGGTTCAGACGGAGTGAATATGGCCGATCCCATGTAGACGGCAAGCGTATAGAGGTAGATCTGTAGGACGACAATGGTCTTCTTGCCCCTGGACCAATTCTGGGGGTTCTCCGGGTCGTCGGTTGCATACCAATCGACCAGGATGGTACCATCCGAGGCGACTTGAGGGGCGATGGGCCGACTTGCTTGGTTCTTCAGGGTCTCCTGTCGCGTGGCGTTGGAATAGGCTTGTTCGAGATCGGCGCGGGTGTTGACTTGGCTCAGCTCGGGTCGAGTCATGATTTTGGACAGGGTGCGATCTGAAAGGGCAACCGACTCGCGATCTGCGGCTGTTCTGGTTGCGGTAAGGCTCTGGGCATCGTCCGAGTCGTCATCGGCTTTCTTCTCGACATCTTCGGGCACGGAGGGGATTGGCTGTGGTTGGTGTGCTGGTGCACCAACCTTGTGGGATTGATATGATTCAGGCAGCACAAAGTCGGATCTTTCCTCTGGATATTGGAAGTACTTGTTTCTTGTGACAAAACGGATCACCTGGCCCACAGGGGCGTCCCGCAACAGAGCGGACATGGTGAAGACTATGGAGAATGGTATGAAAACAGCCAAAGAAGCAAGAGGGCGTTGTGACAATGGGCTTTCGGGGAGGGAGTAGAAGTATGCTGTTCTTGTAGGAGCAGTGAAGAGGGGCCGATGATGAACCAGACGAAAAAGGCGACATGATGGGATGGTATGTATATTATAGATCTTACCCTTGAGAGCCGTCCCATCCCAATGCAGCAGTAACAACCATGTCACCGTGCAGACAGCCTTCTGAATCACTTCTCCCCAAAGCAAAGCCACGCACGGGCCAGAGATGGTCCGCAAACCCAGAACCTGAATAATCAATGAGGTAACTTCAAACTGGGTATAAGCCAGAAGCTTCTCCGTGGAAGCCCATAATCCCCGTCCGTTTCTTGTCCATCGAGGACACCCACTGAGGCGAATGGGAAGCGAAGCAGACGGGAAAAAACAGATACGCGCGTTATTTTCCCGACCGTCGGATTGGAAATTCGTACCTGGTTTCGACCGAAAGGTTGGGGGACGAATAAGACAGAGCTGAAGATGATTGATTACCTATTGACGCAGAAGTGGCAGACATGGTGGTGTGGCCTCTGGGTGGCCTCGATTGTGTGGCTGCTGACAAAGATCATGGAAGTCTTGGCTGTCGTCATTGCCGAAAAATCTCTGGGGCTCCACTCCTGATGCTTGTTGTACGCTATCAAGTACCTAGTACCTACTCGGTAGTAGTAGTACGAGTATCTCACTCTGTCCCGGTGTTTGGCGGACTTTTCGTCGCTCCCATTTCTCTTGTCTTCCATCGTCCCCATTATTCTTCTTCCCTGATGTTTCACTCTCCTTGACGCCCGTCCGTCCAATGTCCGTCGTGGTAGTTATTTACATCTTGGTTGGATCTTGGCATCTAGGAAAGAATGCCTCCAAAGCGGCGGCACTGATCGCCAAATTAGGCTAGCTCCGTAGTCTTCTGTGTTTACACTTCCACCGTCGCGCCTCGCGCCGCGCGCTGTAATACCACTACCACCACCACCACCACCATCTTCATTACCATCGTTCACTTTTATCATCTTAGGGCTCATTTTTGCTCCCCATGGAAGAAGATGATCCCTCTTTAACCTCGGAAGATTTGTATGTCCGTTTCCGGCCCATGCATTCTATACGAGACTTGACCCTCAGTGATCAAGATTTGGACAAAAATTGCCCCCTAAATCGACAGCGCGGTTGCCAGAAAGCAAAGTATGGCCTGGGAAAGCTTGATGTTCTTCCTCTCGAGATTCTCAACATGATTCTACTTGACCTGGACATACAGTCCTGCATGTCATTGCAACAGACCAACCGTCGAGCCTATGACACCGTCCACGAAATGCCGCAGCTCAAAACTATCATCCAACACTGCCCAGATGTTTTGCGTGGCATTCTTCGCACTGAAATGGCGCCCTTCATTAGATACCAACAACTATTCAACAAGATCACCTCCCCTACCTGTGAGACCTGCAACGACTTCGCCGGGTATCTATACCTTCTCACGTGTACTCGTGTCTGCTTTCTCTGCTTTTCTCGACTCCCAAACTATCTACCGATGACGAAATCTGAGGCTCGTGGTCAATTTGGTTTCTCTCTGAGAGACCTAAAGCGGCTACCATATTTGAAGAGCGCCCCTGGACGCTACACAATCTGGAGAAAGAGCTGCCGTAGACGGCTCAATCTCATCAATACAGAAACTGTTCAGCAGATCAGCACTGTCGTTCAGAGCCGCGCCTCTGCCACAAAATCATTACCCGCTGAGCCAGGCACGACGGCACATACTCAAAGGAGAGCCCAAAGAGCCGAGGAAACGAGGTCGCGGCGTCCGGAAGCCCCTCGTGATGCTCTAGCGTATAATCCGAGGAGGTTCATGGCAATTGTTGAAATACCTTACCTCGACCTTCGAAACGGAATAGCACATTGGGGATTTTTGTGTTACGCTTGTCACAATGATTTCGGGGACCTCCGACACGCGAAACGCCAATTCCTGGCCGCTGGCTTTAGACAGCACATACGGCAGTGCGGAAAAGTTGTCGACGGCAAACATGTTGGAACAACAGGCGAGGTCGATGACGGCTGACGAGTGAGTGTCGCTGGCGACGAAATCCACTGAGAAATTCGAGATCACCAAACTCTAATCCAACCGCGCCCGAGACACACATGTTCTTCCTCACTTCATCGAGCAAGATTTTGCCAAATACTCGATGATATTACACAGTTGTCCGTAGGGCGAGGGGCGAGGGGAAAGTACACGTTCGCAGCTTGAACCAAGTAGTGATGATCCAGAGCAGATCTTGAGAGTCACTTCAGGCGAATGGCAGATACATGGAGTCAACCTCGCCACCTTGCACACAGAAACTGGCCCGCTATCCCGATGCTTCTTTTCAACCCGATACAGAGCTCATATCACTGATGCCAGGGGTCCCACATCGGCACGACTTCCTGAAGAAACAGGAAATGCTTAACGCCTTTCCTGGTTTCCCTCTCTCTCCGCACCATTGCGGTTGTTATCGGTGCGGCGCATCTCGTCCTTGCCGGGCGTGACCATATGCCTGATACACATGTGTGTGGACGATCTGAAGATCCCCCGTGTGACAGGACTACATCTGACGTTGGTGCTGTGGCGTTCCACACACTGTTCGAACTCCTCTGGCTTACGGCAGCCGCAAGTATAATCTCTATATTCTTGCCTGCACATGATTCTGAGAAGCCGTGCGGCCGATGCCTGATTCACAATGTCAGTCAACGTCGAGGCCGACGAATGGTGGAGAAGAGCAAGAATTCGGAGCACAGAACAAGATTTTGTTTTTACAAACGGATGCCATACTTTGATGGGTGCAATATGATTTTATGGTAGGGAGTGTCTCCTCGCAAACGATATCCGATTTTTGGGTGCTGGTAATGGTGATGCTGACAGGAAGTGAGCAGAGACTTGACCTGGACAATTTGTTCTTATATAGCAAACAGTTTCCTTGCTCATGATCAGACCGACAATGGGTGTTGTTGGCCCAATAATGATGGGAATTGAAGCTGCCGCACTTGCTGATGCTCCCTACTTTTTCATTTCAGCTTCGTGAAATGGCAACAAAACATGCTGGCGGGGGGCCGCTGTGTGACCACCAAGCAGCGCCTGTGTAACCGTCCGAAAATTCTTCGTGCTTGGATGGTATTTTGTTGGGTACCCAAGGAGGCGTGATTGGTGCCTGGGACTTGGTAGAATTCCATTGTGTCACAGGCTCATGCATGGGAAATCACATACATATGTCGGTCAGTCTGTCGCACGCCAAGCTTTCCTGTCGCGCCTTCCCTTTGTTTATGTACCTACTTGTTAAATTCCTACAAGTACAGCCGAGGATATTTTCTTGCATCCTGATTACATGTGAGAGAGACGAAGCTTACAAGATCCACGAGTCTCGTGTTGAGGTCGGTTGGGGTAGAAGTGCGAGGCTCGATTAAGGCATCCTGCGGGGCTACGACCAGATCGATCTTACCTCGAGGATATAACATTTCTATCACCACGAAACAAACACAACTTGCCAGCGCCAACCATATTTCTTGACGTTGAAAACCTCACGAAGTTTGGGTTTGGTCCCCTTCATGGGCGTCTGCGATCGAATCCAAATCCTCAACTTCGAGGTAGACCCCGAGGATGTGAGCGACTACCGGATCTTGGTCGACGGCAAGTCTTTCAAATATGTCACCATTGACGCGAGCGTCTACGACCTCGAAGACATGACTTGGGACCGTTTGATGGTCCCGCAGCTCCCACCAATGCCCCCAGGTGACTGGAACACAGGGCATGTCGCAACGCACCCGGAGCAAGGCACCCCTTATTTCTCTCGCTATGCGAAGGTCGAGCTCCCGACCATCGTCAGTACATGGCATCCCGTGCGGATCGACTGGCTCGACCTGGAGGGGAGGCAACAACTTCGCAGCAATATCTATACTGCGACTCTCAAAAAGGACATTGGAGGAATGAGAGCCGGACACGAGGTGCTCATCAAATTTGCCAGGTTTCCATGGGAAATGCAGTACTTTGAGGATGAAACAAAGGTTTATCAACGTCTTGACGGGCAGGGAATCGCGCCACAATTCCTGGGCCATTTGACAGAAGAAGGGAGAGTCATGGGCTTAGTGATCGAGTACATCAAGGACGCACGACACGCGGGGCCAGAAGACGTGGACGTATGTCACGATACTTTGGGGAACTTACACCGACTCGGCATGTTACACGGAGATGTGAACAGACACAATTTTCTTGTCCGCGAAGTTGGTGGCCGCGGCAAAACCGTTACAATGGTCGATCTCGAGACTGCCTCTGAATGTACCGACCCTGAGGCGTTTGAGGATGAAATTGACCGTCTTCGCGAGGAGCTCCGCTCGACTGATGGCAAGGGAGGGTATCATGTCGAAATTGTCAATGAGGAAGACTAGTATTGGCAGGACAAGCGGTACAGACAGAGTATACATGGTCCACTTGGAGTACCAGGCTGAGGACGACTAGTGTTGACAGACAAGGGACAAGGCTCTGGTTTTTTGTAAGGTACCGAGTACAAGTCAAGAACCTGTCAAAAGCAGCGTCGGCCAAGTCTCCAAGGATACCCTTCTTTAAGCGCTAAGGCTGCCAAGCTGCCTAGAAACTCAAGCCTGACCCTAAACCGCAGTTGTTCTCGGTCGGTTCATAGATTTCCCTATGAGTATAGAGGTACTTTGTTAGGAACGGCCTATGTAGATAGGCAGAGGGTAGCGATATGTGGCAGGTCGGTATAGGTATTCCTTGATAGTATATTTAAACTAAGACTCAAAGCATGAGGGAAGGGAAGTTTTCCCCAGGCGGTGAGCATGCGGTGCTTAAATAATAAGGGGTTGTCACGTGCGTGGTGTACTTGGCGGTTCGTGACTCTAATTAGGGGTAGTTGCGATGACAGGGGATGGGTAGGCAAAGACCTACATTCCCGTGGATACCGCGGAACAGATTGCAAAGTTCTTCCGGTCAATGCGAGCCATTTTATCAACAACCCACCTCGAAATGAAGGCAGAATGCTACTAACGTAAAGGCACGTCTTCAACTCCTCTTGGGTTTATGTGGTGAAGGGTGCCGGGAGCTCCAGGCTTCAATTTACAAAGGGTACGAGGCTAACAGTGCAATGGAACTGTCATCACCACGACATTGTTAGACACTACTTATCTCTTTGAGAGCTTGAAAGGTAATCCCTACGAGGGTGGAATTGCGGGAATGGTCTTCTGGAACCCGAGGTACCCCATGGGCTACGGGGGACGAGTTGGGGAACACCAAAGTTTGCAGAAGTTTCTATCATGGCGATCTCGTTCCGCCGCCGCGTCTGCGTCGAGACGTATCCCAGCGCTTGTACCAAGGTAAGGATCGTTGTTTCGCGATCTAGCTCTACCACGACGTACCTATGTGTATGGAGAGCTTCGTTGTGTCATCATCCGGAGCATTTGATGTCCAAGAACACGACGCAAGTCGACCTTGCGGTGGAATCGTTGAACGGTGCAGAGCCTGTCGAGTGCCCAGCTAACCAATATTGGCCGAGGACGTGACCGGGACCGAATGGAATCGAAGTTTGACTGCGAAGTTTGAAGACTTGGGGAATTGATTGGTATCAGGCACTCATAGTTGATAGGTACGCTGGCGGCCATCATCCCATCCCGCCTTGCCGCTTCCATGAGCAGGGCCGAAGAATCAAGATGTCCTCCCCTCCTCCATGCCGCACCGGAAAATGCCAGAGGTTCCGCATCTAGGGCCTATATCTGGTATAAGGGGGGTTTCAGTCCATTCTTTTGATATTCCTTATCCAGACCTCATCGAGCTTTCATTGAACCGGCTTGTGGTTCACATTTAGTTTCGGTCAGGGGTTGTCTTACGATCAGGTTCACCATGGCCAGCGCAGCCGTTAAGATCGGCAAATTGACTTTTTACAACATCCTGTTGGCCATTTTTGCATGTAGCGGAGGGTTTGCCTACGGATTCGCCTACCAAGCGCTCACAGCGAGCATCGGGCAGCCACAGTTCTACATTTATCTTGGCCTTGAACGTGAGTACAGTCTTTCTATGAGCTTGCGTCCCTCCAGATCGAGCTTTGTATCTCACTGAATGATCCCTTGGGTCGCGCACAGGAGGCACCACCTACACGGCCAACATCTTGGGAGCCATAAATGGACTCTTCTTTGCGGGTGGTGCATTCGGCTCTGTGTCCCAGAGTTGGGTCGGCGACAAACTCGGCCGGAGGAAGGCGTTGATCATTGCCTCTGCGTTGGCCCTCATCGGCTCCAGTCTGGTGGCGGGCACCGTCCACGTCGTCATGTTGATTGTATTCCGGCTTGTTCAGGGATGGGGCACTGGCATGATTGTCACGCTGGCTCCGATCTACCTGGCCGAGATCTCTCCCCCTCAACATCGCGGTTTATTGCTGGGCTCGTTCGCCACCAGTCTGGGAATTGGGATGAACGTGGTCGGATGGATCAGTCTGGGGACCTACTATGCCCAAAATCCGAGTGTGCAATGGCGACTGCCGCTGGCATTGGCCTGCATCGGTCCATTGGTCATGTTCGTTGGTTCATTTTTCATCCCAGAGTCGCCCCGGTGGCTGCTCTGGCAAGGCAAATCAGACCAGGCCTGGTCCATTCTCCAAAAACTGCACGAAGGGCCCACTTATAGTGAGCAAGTTGAACAGACCGCCCACGCCGAGTTTATCCAGATCCAACGGCAGATCGACTACGACAAGACCATGGGGGTGACATACTGGCAGATTGTCAAACAGCCAAGCTATCGAAAACGTGCCTTGATTGTCATTGTGGCCATGTTCGCCTACCAAAGTACGGGCGCCTTCGGCATTGGGAATTACAAGATACTAATCTACGAGAATCTGGGCTTCCGTGGCTCGATGCCTCTCCTGCTGAATGCCTTGTATACATTTATTGGCACGTGTGGTGTTATGTTGGCCTCTATCTACGTTGACAAAACGGGTCGAAAAATCTTATTTCGTAAGTCACAATAAACCCCGACCCTCCTTGCCAATTGAGCGCGTTCTAGAGCTGACCGACATGGCTCCTGACACAGTTGTCGGCCTGCCTGCTATGGCTGCGGCGTTGCTGGCCGAAGCATTACTATCCCGAAGATACGTCGCCACCGACGACAAGGCCGGGAATGCCGCCTGTATCGTATTTTTGTTTCTCTTTGTGTTTACCCTCGACCTGACCCTGGGTCCGTCAATTTTTATCTATGTGTCCGAGCTGTGGCCGACTCCGCTGCGAGCCAAGGGGTTGGCTATCGCATGGTTTACTTATTTTCTGGGTGCTATCACTTACACGTCATCCTCGGCGCTGGCCTTCGAGAAAATCGGGTGGAGGATGTATATGGTCTGGTTTACGTGCAACATTGTGAACTTCTTCATCGTGTGGTTTTACTTCCCGGAAACGACAAACAAGACGCTGGAGGAGATCAGTGAGCTTTTTGGTGACAAAGTCGTCGTCCGAATCACCGCCGATGGAAAGAACCTGGAGGGAGACAAGATCATCGAGATCAAGACGACCGGAGAGAAGGATGGGCGCGATGATCATGTGCAGGTGGAAGTGATTGAGAACACCAAAGGGCGGGACTAGGTCCAAGGGGTCTGATCCGGAGGCCTTGTAGAATGAAGGGGAACAGAGAAATTCTACTTCAGAGTCTCAGCGGACGAGGTATGTAGCAACCCACCGGCGTGACATGACTTCAATCCTTGTTCGATACGCGCGATATTCAAGGCCTTCGGCGGAGGCGACTCCGCTACACTTGACGCAAGTACATCGAGGTTCCGAAGACGAGATACAAACCTCGTCGATTTTTCTCTGTCGTCGACAAGGTTATGAAACCAGTGCAAGTACATTTCTGGACATGGAATCATTCCATCCTCGAGCAGCTTCGGGGTCGGTCACCGACTATTCAACTGGTTACTGAAGCTCTAACGGGCTCTCTCAATCCCTAGTGCTCCTAAATGCTAGAGACGACCCGATGAGCCTAAACTCGATAGTGTGTCTGTCTCCTTGGCTTTGAGAAGATACGCCAATAGGCAATATCTATTTCTTTTTACCACCAATTTCGCTATATGTTGTTGCCTCCACATTGTGTGCAGAGAAACTTCCACATTTTCAATGGGATGAGAACTGCGCGACAAGTAAATAACCCGCTTTAACGTGCTCTACTCGGTCATCGATGATGCAGCAGGGCTGGACGGCTTCCTGACGGACGGATCAATATTCAGGGTTCTGCTAGACTTTGAGCACACATGGACAAAACATACCGACATTCCCGCTCCGCTGGCGGGACGTGGAGCAAAATCTTGTGAAGGCAAGGGGGAAGGGGATGCTTGCCGGACGCGGCGAGAGCACAATGCCGCTTATGCCGCTTCTGGCCGCTGGGATTCCCGCTCCATCGAAAACAAGCTCCCAGAAGCGAGGAGCCTGCGGGGAAAGGGGGGTTTCGGGGGGCGGTAACAACACTATTTGGACATTCATTACTGGCTTGATAAAGTCTTAATAGTTCTGAATGGCAAATCTTCTTACCCAAGGGGCCTGTGTTCGCCCGCAATAGGTTTGGCCCGAGCTAGCCAGTGGAGAGGCGGAATGTCGGGATTTGAAGATTGCGGGACGGCGGCATTGCGAGATGGCGGAAAGATGAAGTCGTCCATGAAACCTCATTGCTGACTCTCTCTCCCTCTCTCTTGCATCCCGAGGACCGAGATTGAATCACTGCATGCTTGAGGGAAAATGAGGCATAAAAACGCGCACAAAAGCCGGAACGCCCAGAGCAGGTCCGGTCCCTTCGCTGGGGGCAATCAAGGAGAAAGGTACCATCATCGGAGCGGCCGTCTCGTTGGGGAGCGTTGCGTGCGCGCAGGTCGTGGCTTCGGTCAGGATTTGACTGGGCCTTGGGACAGCGGAGCCGCCGGAGTCATCATCCCCATGGTTCAGATTCGGGAGGAATGCGTCCAGGTCATTAGACGGACCCTCTACCCTCGTCTGGGCTAGCGAAGCTTCGGTCCCTTCCTGGCCTCCTTTGCCGACGTAGATCGATCTTCGGACGTTCGCCAAATACATGTCCAGGCGGTCCGAGGAACTGGCAATCCTACCCATGATCGAGAGACTGTGGCTGCCCGTCGAGCGAGCCGAGGAAATTCTGACCGTTTGAGGGCGTGACGGGATGTTTCGTGGGGCTCCTTTGACCTTCGTCAATCCATGGGTCTTCCCGGCGGGGCCGGGCGAAGAACCCGTCTTTATCGAAGCCTTGGAGAAGATCTTGAGAATCGGAAAAACGTCATGGACTCGAGATTGGCACGGTTGCTGGGACCGAAGAAGCTGCAAAGCGCAAGAAAGAAATGGGCTTCAGCTTTCTATTAGCGGGTTCAGAACGCAGGGTTTCTTGCCAGTGGCTGCCAGAGTGCCTCTCAACAGTGTAGCAAATGAGTGTTTTCGGGCAAAGATTTGAATATCTCGAGTATGAAGGACGAAAGAAAAAAAAAAGGAAACGTAATTTAGCTTTGAAGAATAAGACTTCTATCCGAGTATGCCATTATAACATCGACAACATCGGGTGGCCTCCGAATCGAATTCCATGATCTATGCGTTCGTTGCCTTCTCCTTGTCAAACTGCCCTTCAGTTTGACAGGCAAAAGCTCATAGTCTATCCTAGGGAGCCGGGGCTCATATAAATACTATGTGACAGGGAATTGTATATCTAACCTCCGATTCCAACGACCCCCAAGTACTTTTATCAGAGATTATCATCCACGTCTCCAGCTCTTCGCTTAGAACTGCTTCGCGGTCAGTGGGGGGGAGTCATCGGACACGCTTGGCTGACCCTGACCTCGGATAGCGTGAGGAAGCCCGTCAGTGCCGTACGCACCAAGAGCGTACATGAATGGCCGTCCGAGAAACACAGCGGTAGCCCCTAGACAGAGGGCTTTCAACATATCGGCACCGCGCCGAATGCCTCCGTCCAGCCAGATTTCGAGTGTGTTGCATATCTCAGGGCAGAATCGCTGGATTTCCAGCAAAGTTCTGACGGCGCTCGGGGCATCATCACTTTGTCGGCCACCGTGGTTGCTAAGGTAGATACCGTCGACCCCCTAGGTAGGTAGGTAGGTAGGTACGAGGGTGCTTGCTTGGCTCATGGCCCGTTAGCCCATGGGTGTGACAACGTGGTTTAAATATACAAACGCAACCGAGAAAAAACACAAAACACAAATACTCGGCGAATCGGTGCACGCATGGAGAATACCCAATGTCCAGTAACCCAATACCCAAAATCTAATACCTAGGTATACAACACACAATCGCCGCAAGCAGCCCTGTCCGTCTGTCTGACTGTCTGTCGACATGACTCCCCCAACACGTAGTTTTTTCCCCGGGGTATATGTGCGTGTGTTTCAATCATCAACAAACCCCCTTTCGCCCCATTTCATCCCCTTTGTTTTGTTTTGTTTTGCTTTTGCTTTTGTTTTTCTCGCTTTCTTCGCTCCTTGTTAAACATAGACGAGTCAAACTCCCTCTCGACACTAACACCGTGATCGTTCCCTCCCCTACCAACCCGGCCCAATGATACAAAGAGACATGAGACCAGTGATTCGACATCCGCGTCACAGCCTTTTCCCTGTGTTGAAACTCCTGCCAAATGTGGAATACAATCCATTGTCTGTTGTGGCTGGACCTAATGTTGAATCCCATCCTGAGCTTGAGCTTGAGCTTGGGCTTGGGCTTGTGTCTGGCTGTGCGCCAACTGCGCCTTTTGATTCTCCTTGGCCAGCGTCCTGGCGAAGAGCGTCTGGGGCTTTGCATTCCTATTCGAGTTGCGACGTCGCGGACATGTTAGCAGTGCACAAAACAAAAGTTGTGAGGGAGAGAGGGATGGAGGAAGCAAACGCACATGAACCGCCTCCCCTTGATCTCGCTCAGCTTCTTGGTCGTGGGACTCCGGATCGCGTCCGAGGGCGAAATGTACGTCTGTGTACCGGCACCACAGGTGGGCTGGTTCTGAGTCTGGATCTGGTGTCGCTGCTGTTGTTGTGGCACCTCAAAGCGCGGCATGTGAATCCCTCCTTTCCCGGCGTCGGCGAAAGCGCCCTTGAACTTGTCCTTGCCCGTTACGTCCTGCGCGGCCGTCTTCGCCGGCGAAGTCGGATTGGGGCATTTCTCGGCGAGAGGGCCCTGGGTGGCTTTTGTGGGAGACATTGGGTTTTTGATAAACCTTTCTTTTTATCTTGTGAGTTGATTTTCGACCGACGCAAGGATCTCAAAGGTCTGGTGAGGTGCGCGGGATGGAAAAGAGTCCAGTGAAAGTATTCAGTTCTTGTTCAAATCAGTCAATCAGTTGGTTACTTGGCACCTACTAATAGGCAGCGAGTGAGTGAGTAGGTATTTACAGGTCCAACCAATGACGTCAACGAGCCCAAAGCAATGGTTGGCAGGGCAACGACACCCGCCGCACAAAGCAATATTTCCGAGGTTCGCCCATGTTTGTATGAATTGTTAGGAATAACACAAGTACCACAGTAGCAGTGCAAAATACCCGGTACACGCGAGAACAGATCTTTGTTTGGTCACTTGTCCTAGCTCAGTTACACCCAACAAAACCAAAACTGATTTTCTTTGATTCCAGAAATCCACAACGACTGTATATACAGTCAGATCCCTAGGTAGGTAGGCTTTTCTCTGGCCTTAAACAGATCCCCATACACCGGCACTCCTGGTTGATTGACCAAATACCCAAAACCATACACCAAGCGCCTAACCAATCCGAGATATTCCCTGTGAGCTCTAGAGATCGAAGCTCATCCCATCATGAATGATCCACCATCCTACTTTTGAGGTTTCAATGCAACTTCGTATAAAAACAAAACCCTTTTTCTCGTCCTGATGAGACGCATCCGCCCTGTTTGATGCTTCCTTCCATCTGTACATGAATCACGGGTATCCATGTATTTCCCCTTTTTTAAGTCGTTGATCGTCCCGAGGAATGATCAGTCTGACTGATAGCCATATATTCTCCAGTCTGTATATCGAGGTATATCGAGGTGGGTTGCTCTTTGATATCGCTGTAATTTAACCTCCCTTGCTGTAAGACAAGTCGATGCCGCCGCTCGCTCAAATTTTGTAAGAAGCCCTCGTTGTGAAGGCTGGAATATCGTCGTTGATAGGATCGTACTTTCGGTCTAATGCTGTTTGTAGCTCATCAAGATGGGGCCAGTGCTCTAGTCCACAACGGCAGACTCGGCGTCATCCTCGTCTTCGTCCTTCTGGTACATGAAAAACTGTACAAAGATGGCCATATCCAACAACAGCGTACCCAAGCTCCCCGCGATCCAGCTCGCGTTCACAGCGATATATCTCAAATAAATGGCCTTCGCTTCCCCCGGCCGACAATGATCGGGCTGCGCGCAGACGGGTGAATAGGCAAAGATGGACATATCGTAAGTCAAATTGCCGATGCACGCAAAGAGAAAGAAAAGCAGAGACACGCCCTCAGTGCTCTTGCGCTTGTAGTTGAGCAGGAGTTGCGGCACCCGGGAGCCCAGATAGAGCACGGCGCAGAGATAACCAAAGATCTGGCCCAGAACATCAAACTCCAAGGGCTCCGACGGCGGTGACTCGTCTTTGTGGTGGTGGTGGTGCTTTTGCGCCCCGATCCACCAGCCAAACACCCCAGCGGCACAGACGAGCAGGATGGCAAAGGTGTTGAGCACCACCGCCTGCCACGCGCTGGTTGGTCGCAAGTTCCTGGCAGCCGGGGGATCAGTCGGCTTCGGTGGGTCAATGAGCGGCGTGACGGGGGACAGATGGGCGGCTTCGACGGACAAATGGCGTCGGAGATGCGAGATGGACGACGACCGCTCATGCTCGTCGCGCGACGGAGGCTGGGTCACGGAACCACTGTGCAGCAGCGGGCGTGTCTCGGCGTCCCCATTTTGAGCGTGATGCGCAGGTTTCACGTAGTCGGTGAGGGTGAAGCCGCGGTAATAGAAGCACTGGCCCAGTAGGACGATGTCGGCCAGGGTGTAGTAGACGGCGAGGATGATCATGGTGGGCAGCACGCCCTGCAGGACGGCGCCGAGGATATTGAAGACATCGCCGGCCAGCCAGACGACGATGAAGACGATCGACAGGCCCTCGGCCGACCCGCGGCGGAAGTTTTCGATGATTTGAGGCGAGAAGACGACGACCCAGCAGGCGATGGAGATGGAGCCACAGATGCCGGAGAGAGCTTGGATGTCGAGAGTGACGCCTTGTTGGGGCGGAAACATGATTATGGAAATCAGTAGACGATATGGACAAGGACAGACAATAATAAAAAAGGACAAGGAGATGTAACAGAAATGTATGGACAAGCAACTATGACGACGGATGAAGAATGAGATTGGCAGAGGATGACGACGGAGATGAGGATGAAGATGAAATGATGGAAGAAACAAGGATGGATGAAGGAAGACGGAAGAACAAGAGCTGGAGAAATGACGCGGGGAAAATCTCTGCTGTTGCTGTCAAAAGTGACTTTTTTCTTGGTTCTTCACCGAATGAGCGAGTATTTTGTATGTAATAATTAATTGAATTTAGCAAGAGGCAAGAAATCTGAATCCGGGGTAAAAAGAAGGAATGAAAAATAGATTTGGATCTAGACTCGAATGGGCAATTATTCGCGTGTCCCTGATGCAGGTACGACCCATCACCATAAGATAAGGGAGGTACTTTCCACTCGTATACAAGTCCACTCGGTGTTAGACACTAGACACTATATATAAGGAGATCAAAGGCAGACAGTCACAATCACTACAGTATGTGTACAGCATATGGCAAATGTATACATTTGAAAGACATTACCCGTCCTCAACAATCTATATAGGTATGTAGGTGTAGATGTATAATCCTCATATGCTTTTAATCCCCCCCATCCACGGCAACTAAATCAACATCATGGCGCCTCTCTCGTGCCAAAATACAATAGACATAAGCACAGACGCCACCCTACCAACGTCCTGCCATCCAGAATAGTCATAATATACCAGCTCAAGGCCCTTGATCATTACTTCCTTTTGCCCGCGCATCCAAATAATGCCATGAAACCCCCTCCTCCCTTGCCTCCACTGCCATCACCACCCTCTCCCCCCCCTCCCGCCCCCTGACTGGCTTTCTCTTTGTCTATCGTAGGCTCTGCTCCCTCCTTGTCGCCCAACTCGATACTGCTCAGGTCTTTGGTGTTTTCCAGCCACTGTAGATCCTGCTGTATGTTGATCCCCAGGCCGGCCTCGACGCTGGTCCCCGGCTTTGCGAGCCACTCTCTGAGCTCCCGCGTCGTCGACTCGCTAGCCTTGTTGGCTTGCATCTTGCTCCACGTCGTGAATAGGTGATCTGCTGCAGGTTAGCCCAAGTCCGCCATACCGAGCAAGAGGTGCTCAAGGGTGGTGTCATCATCTTACCGTACTCTGCAACCACTTTCCGCAGCTCTCGCAGAATTCGCGTCTTCTGCGTCATCTTCTCCGACGCATTTCCAGGCGAGTTGGGGTTCTCTACCTTCAAGAGTTCCTTCTCCAGCTGCGAGATCTCGTCTTGAAGGCACAGGAGCAGTCTCACGTGCACGGCATCAAACCGTCGGCATATGATGGTGTTCTTCTCCGTCATGAACGACGCCATCTCGCTGTGTTCAGATGGTCGGAATGAGGAAGCCATCGTCGAAGGCACCGGTTCATCAATGGGAGCCTGTGGCGCCCGCTGCGAATTCCCTTCACGCGTCGAGGGTCTTCGAATCTGTGCGCCGGGAGGTAATTGAGGGAGGGGCGTGGTTGGCGCCGGTGTCGGCAACTGGGAATCGTAGATGGTGGATCTCGGGGTGGTCGCCCGCGAGTCGGTCGATTTTCTCGACTTGTTGCGAACCGAGGGCGGTCTGGGGATGACCTCGGCGTCGTCCGAGCTGGAATTGCGTTGTGATCGTAATGACACGTTGGACGGGTGGGAATGAAGGGCTCTTTGTCGTCGTTCAGAGGCAGTAGATTTGGCAGGCTGTAGCTTTTGCGAGGGCTCAGCGGACCGCGGCGCCTCGGGAGGGGGCGGCAGCTTGGGTGATGGTAAAGGTTGAGGTATGGGGGTGGTCGTCGGCAGCGTTGGTCCTATTCGAGGGGATTCATGCGGTGTCTGAGGTAGACTGGGAACTAACGGCAGCCCAGCGTTCACCGCCACTGAGGCCACATGTTTTCGGTTGTACTTGGACGTCGGTGGGAGGACGGTACTCTTCTTGGTCATTGTCGAAACCATGGACGACCGTGTAGAGTTATTCATCATGAACTCGCCGACCGGTTCTGGCGGTGGTGGTAGGTAACCCAACTCCTGCTCCTCCATCACACTGGAAATTTCGTGTTCTTCGCTGTGCGACGAGCTGCCCATCTCTCCAGCACTCTCGGTATGCACCGATATCTTCTCTTCGCTCGACGCCGCTGTGGTGGACGTAGTCTGCCGATTGTGTCCCTTTGTGCCATCCTGAGACGATTGAACGGGTCCTCCAATGCTGGGTAGTGGTTCGATACTGTCCTGCGGGCTTTGCGACCTCGAATCTGAGCCCGACGCAACGCTCTCGGGAGCCAGCGAACTCTTGGAGTAGGTATGAGAGACTGCCGGGCGTGGCTTGGGAGAGTTGGCCTGAGCCGGGAAAAGGGAGAAAGATGCAGACGGAAGTTGGTAAGTCGATACCTCCTTCTCGGTCGGCGACAAGGGCGGTTTATAGGCGGCACTGTCCAGCACAGGAATCCAATTCGGGTCGTGAATGTCGACGGGCGGTATTGAGGTGTTGTAGTAGGACCGCCGTCCAGTGGGAAGCTCTACCGGTGCAATCGCAGCGGCCATGGTGCGCAGACGTCTATATCTGCCCCCTCTTCAGTGTTGCACAGTAAACAGCTCAGAGAACCCCAGTAATCCTGTAGTAGTGAATAGGCTTGACCACGCATCTGGCACTTTTTGATCAAGGACGCGGAAAAGAAAATACTGAGTTAGTTACAAACGAAGTATCCGGCACAGGAGCGAAGACTCGCAAGTTCGCGGTTCAGCGGTTTAGCGAGCGAGGGAAGCAGAATTTCTCACTCGGAAATGATTGTCCGAACGACGGGGGAGGGGGTGCACGATAGCTTGAACATGATGGCCGTTTAAGCCTTGGATCGTTAGTTAGCAACTGAGTACTTGGAATTCCCAAAAGGTAGATACTAGATAGAACCATGCCATATTGGCTCTGGGGCTAGCATCCAGCCGTATCCACCATGCGTCACTTCCATGACGCCGGGCTCAAGCCACAGGGGGGCGGGATCCAGGGACAAAGGACGCCAGGTTAACGGGAGATCAGAGCGAAAGTAGGTTTTAGACTGATATAGGAAAAGCGTGCGAGATGAGTGTTGGGGGCAGTGTCGTGCAAATAGATTTCATATAATACCTGTGACATTCAATGCCTGTTTATTTCGGTATTGTTTGTGTATCTTTCTAGGGTTCCGATACGGGCCAAGGAGCTAGGATATTAGCGTTATTTTAATAAAATAGCTGCTCGTTAACCCTTCTGATTTGCTCATGAGTATGCTCAAGTCCTACCTCAGGAGCCGGTCCTCGCGAGTTTCCGCGTTATAGGTAAAATCCTACAGCGTATTAATCTCGTGTTCTTTGAAGTAAACAAGCTCATTTTAGTGTCATAATAGCGCTGCAAAACTAATACATCTCCCACAGAAATTACTAGGCGCTAGTATTATAGCGCACCTCTTTAATGGCTTGACACCTCCGAATCTTCGTAACGCAAATCAACCTTTCGGTACCAATACTATCATTCTTACAGCAAAAGATAAATTTCGTGTATTTTCACAATATTGGTTTTTTGGGAGGGGGGAGCCCGTAGCCTCATCCAGCCTGGTGAAGCTCTCATCAGCCACAAAAGATTGATACGTTGTACATAAGAATCTTAATCCTCATCAGATGCACCAGAGTCATAAAACCCCACCAAGCTGAGTTTCTCCCCAATGCAATTATTTATTTGCAAATCCATCTGAAAATCCTCTTGCCGGGCATCCGTTCGGGTGCGGTGCCTTCGACTAAACCTGTTTCAGGCCCATGTTTGCATGGGCAGGCCCTTCAAGACCAAAGGGAAATAAACCATGTCGCAGATCCCAGACAAGGAAACAAGCGATATTAATATTTATTGTGCTGACGAGGCTTGAGGGGTTTGTAAACAAAGGAAGAGACAGAGGGAGATTTGCTCTCGTGGGATTCTCCGGTGGTCGACAGGATTGCGATTACTGGGAGAGAATGTGAATGTTCAGCAGGATGAATTGACCATATACCGAGTACTCCTCCTCGTACTGCTACCGACCGTTGTAAATCTGGGACCCCAGAGAGCAAGGCGACAAGGTACCGACACGGTGTTAAACGCCTCCAAAGGATCTTCTGGTCTGTTTCCCGATTCCGCGTCCCACACAAACAATCAACAAATATTGGCGCGTCTCCTTCCAATTCCCCTGGTCCCGCTACTAGCAAAACGGCGTTGGGGGCTAAGGCTGGCGGGCTAGCCGCAGGCTCGCAGGCAGTGATCACTGATCAGCATCACTTCTGTGCTCGGTGCACCGTAGGTATGAGGAGCTAGTTGAGGGCAGGGAGGCTAAGACCGGCAAAGAGGGATTGATAACAATAGTAATACTCCGTAGATGTTCATGGCTAGCACTGTACAAGTTCTTGCTTGTCCTCGTAGGCGAAATGCGAAGTGCAATCTTGGGTTTTGTCGAAGGATTCGCTCGGCAAAGAAGAACGAGAGCAAAGATTTCTCCGTTACCGTAGTCGAAGGATTGAGCAAGGCAGAGTCGAGACCCTTCTGGGGGCCGGGAGCACCCAGAGGGGCACCCAAGGGCGCCTGAGCTGCCTGATTAGGTAATGGTAGTGCTGCCTGGGCATGCGTGGGCATTACTTGTAGGGACAACTTTGGCGTGATAGGGGTGTCTTTGGGGGGCACTCCAACATGATATAGGGACACAGTGCCTCTTGTCATACCATCTGGCCATGCGCCCACGTACAGAGTTCTGGTACGTGGTACTCGTAGCTAGGCACCACCAATAGAGTCGCTGGCAAACCGAACCGACTAATCGGAACACAAGGCCATCACGGTTGCACGCTTGACAGTGGACGGTGGGTGGCACTGGATGCACAAAGCCAAGGCCAAGGCGAAGGCAAAGATATTCGGCACAAGAATGGCTCGCCTAAACACCTGCATCCACACGTCGAATATCTCCTCCTAACTACCTATCATAGGTAAACTGCTCATCCTACTGAAGAAATCAAAGGCCAAAGATTTGCTCCGCCGATATTTTGTCTCCTTCTACTTCAGCCCTACTGGTCTTTATTGCGCCGGGGTTATGACCATCAAAATCGCCAGGCGAGATGACCACCATGCCCCCCCAGGATGAATCACACCATTCTACTAGCTCAGCAAAGCAGTCTTGCTGCTATTGCTGCTACTACTACTGTCATGTCTCCACGGTCCAGCAGCGGCAGCCGAACAAAGTCCAAGACGGGCTGCCGGACCTGTAAAATCCGCAAAATAAAATGTGACGAGTTGATGCCAGAGTGCCGCCGCTGTACCTCCACAGGACGGAAATGCGACGGCTATGGGATCTGGGGAGGGGTTGGAAGAGGAGGAGTCACTAGTAGTGGTACTACTGATGGATATTTGGATGGACGGACAGCTGGTGTTGGTGGTGCTGGTCCTTATACTGACCAACACCGCCATCGTCCCCTGCCCTCGTCGAAGAATGATCATCAGGCGATCACATCACGAACACAGTTGTACTTGTCCCCATACTCACACCCTAGGACCTTCTCTGTCTACCCAGCCAACCTCCTCGATGCCGACGAAAAGTCTCATCTCGAGTGGTTCTGGTGTCGCACCTCCAAGAAGCTCCAAGGCGCCTTCTTCTCACACGCTGGCAACGCCGTGTTATTCCAAGCCAGCGCCTCCGAGCTGGCCGTGACCCATGCCATGCTGGCCCTGTGCGCTGTCCACAAGGGCGCCGACACGTCAATTCACCTGCGCCACGAAGAGAGCTTCGCCCTGGTTCAATATAATAAGGCAATCAAGTATCTGCGCCCAAGGCTCATGGCCGCCAATGACCGTATGGCGCTCCGGCTGTCGCTGATCTCGTGCATCGCCTTTGTCCAACTCGAGTTCTTCCGTGGCCATTACCAGATGGCCCGGAGTCATCTGGAGCACGGCCTGAGAATGCTGGACGGCTTCAGACTCCACGCCCTTGCGGAATCAAGCAGTGGTAAGCAGCACAGCCGCTCCTTCGTCGACCAGTGGATCCTGCGCAGTTTCAGGGGGTTGTACCTACAGTCGACGTTGTTCGGACAGCCACCTCGCCGTCCATGGGTGGTGACGGAGGACCCGAAGCACATCACAGAGATCGCCACCTTCTCCTCCACCCATCAGGCGAGGGAGTATATGGAACACCTGCTCCTCCGGATCTGTCGAATGAACAAAGCCCACTCGGAGCAGCAATACTCCACCTCACCCCAATCCAATGGGGTATGTGCTGCAGAATGCCTTTCGAAGCAGGACTTGCAGCACCATATCCTGTGCTGGAAATCCGTCCACGACGAGACCCTGGCGCAGTTTAGAAGCACCATGAACGGGCTGGAGTTGTTCGCGCACCGATTGCTCGATGTCTACCACACCATGGCGGCAATCATGGTCGACACCCTGTTCGAGCCGGACGAGACACGGTTCGACCGCCACACACACCACTTCGTGTCCATCGTCCAACAGACGCTGGGAGTCCGCAACATGGCCCTGACGAGCGGCGTGCGTCAAAAGTTCTTTGGCTCCGAAGAGGGCCTCTCACACTCGATCGCTGATCTGGGTACGATGGCGCCGTTGATCTACGTCGCTCTCAAATGCCGCGTGCGCTGCCTCCGACGCCAGGCCATCCAACTGATCGCCGAAACGCCGCGGAAGGAAGGGATCTGGGACGCCAGCCTCGTCGCGCAGATTGCCAACAAGGTCATGGACCTTGAAGAAGCTGCCGCTGAAGCTGATACCCAAAGTCTAGATGGGTCCGACGACGACTTGCTCATCGTCCCCGATCTCCCCTATGAGCAAATCCAGCCTCTCCCCCTCACGGGCGTTCCGGCTCCTTCAGCCTCACGGCGCGTGGAGGGCGTTGAGGTGCTGCTCCCCGACGGCCCTTGGGATGGGGCGATATTGCGATGCCGGTATCAAGACAGCCCGCAATGCGACACGTATCTCATTGAGAGGCTTCCAATTGCTCCTTGAATTCCGTGCAAACCAAGTATGAGCATGTATAAGCATGGGTGACTGACTACTGATGCAGGGTTGGAGTATCATATTACCCTCCCAGCTGAAGACAAACAGCGATAGAGGTAGATTATCTACCTATGTAATTCACGGAATATCAACAAGGATTTCTCATTTTCCTAATCCTAATCCTCATCTTCATCATACTCAGTAGTCTGTATCCGAGGTCCATTTCATGCTTCTTTCTCTTCCCGTGTTGTGCTACTGTAGATATTGATTGCCCTGCCCTGCCCTGCCCATAGCCAGTCCCCTTGAATCAATCAACCCCTTCCCAGTTCCCCTTGCCATCCCTTCCTTTGTTTGTTTTCTCCTAACGTAAAATCCCGGTTTGCACAAGGGGGCTTCATATCGTTGATACTAAGAGACAAATCAACAACAAAACTCCATCATCTTTCTTTCCCTGCTAAAACCCCAAAATTGACAGACTGTATATACCCATACCATCCCTATCCGATCCTCCCCCTCGTTGTCTTTGCTTATCCTAAAAGTCCGAGGGGTATCCCATAATCATTGTCGTCCAAGGGTCATTTCATAACAACTGTTCCAAAAATGTTGCCGAGTTATATGTGTCACCCCGGCAAACGATATGTTCTCCCATCCCATCATACTGATCCATTCCCAGGAACTCCCTACATGAACAAAATCAAACTAAGAAGCAAAGCAATCGCGTCGGGGTATCGTGACAAGTCTATATTCGAACGCGCCACAGTCCGACATCTCATGCATTTGATACGCGAGACACCCTGCTCCAAACTCCTCATGTGGATCCGACGAAATAAAGGACTGCTCCGGACTCGTATGCGGTGTGCCTGATAGCAAGTCACTTGTTGAAAGCCCCAACGGCCGCCGCCGCGAGCTATCGACATGAACACTTGCCGCTATTTTTCCGAGGCATGTGGAGGCGTATCGCCATCGACGGTGCTGCTTGCATTCGTACTAGGTAGTGTTGAGCTGCGGCTACTGGTGGTCGAAGTGGTCAACGGGCCATTGCTTCCAAATAGAAGCTTCTCAATCGCCGTCACCTGCTTCCCATAACTGGTGCGTCGAAGAACAGGATAGTTCTGCTCCATGTCCGCTCGCAACGCCAGGAGCTCAGATCCTTGCAGCTGGCCAAACACCTTTTCTTCAAACAAGTTAGCGCAAGTCAACAATGGATCAAGGGAATCCCCAAACTCACGCAAGACATAGTTGCCATATTGGTCTCTCATTAGTCCGAGGACTGGAGTGACTCCCTGCTCATTCGGTGCTGTCAAACCACGAAGAATCTGTACGCGTTGATCCTCATCTGCACAATCAATGCTCTTTTCGACAATATTGCTGGCAAATTTGTGTTTGGAAAATGCCAGGAGCTGTTGAAGGACGATATTAACAACCTGGCGGCGGTCCTGCAGCTCACCGTTCTGAATAATATGCTGCACAACATAATTCCCATATGAGTCGCTGATGAGCGGTAGAATGTGTTCGAGAAGCTCGTCCAGAATGACCCGTTTGGCGGGTGGCTGACAATGTTCCAGCATTCGTTGAACCACCCGACAGCCATACTGGTGTGTTGACATCTTCGCCATCTGGCCTCTGTGAGCGTCGACAATAAACTGAATATGTTCACCTGGTATCCGCTCGATGGCCTTCTGCACAACATGGTTGCCGTTCTGATCTTTGACAACCTTCAGTATTTGCAAATTGGGTCCGTCCAATTCTTTGACCAAACTGGCTTGTTGGTCGGTCAAGACGTGCTCAAACGCCTTCTGAACCACACGACATCCGTACATCTGCATCGACAAGTGCAAGACATGGCCCTTCATCTGATGGGCCAAGATTTTCTTCTGCGTCTGATTGCCATGCTCGAACATTTTTTGAATCACATAGTTCCCGAATACGTCCGTCATAAGCTGCAGCAAGTTTGGCTGTATCTCCTTGAAAATCTGCTCTTTCTCGTCACTATTGGCGGTCTCCAATTTCTGCTGGATGAAGCGCGAGCCATGCTGGTCACCACTGAACTCGACCACATAGTTGTAGATATCCTTGAGCTCAAACCGGCAGTTGGTCTTACTGTTCATTCGAAATTCCTCGAGCAAGGGGCTCCTCACAATATGGCTCTGTTCAGGCTCGCGGACCGACATCCGTGGGCCTGCAGGGAAGTTGTTGATTCCCGAGTGCCCATGTCCAATATACGGATGTGCTAGGGGATTCATCCGCATCGGCTGCACTTGTATTTGGGCATCGTACTGAAATCCATTGCTGGCTGCTGGCTGAAGGGAAGCTGGGGCATACATGGCCGGATCGTAGCCATAAAAGTCGATGTTTGTGAACTTGCGGTCGATCAAGAAGGGATCGTGATGCGAGGTGCGGCTAGAGACACCGCTTCCCGGAGTGCTGCGGATGGATTGTGGTCCTGTGGGAGGTGTGCCGGTGGTTGAGTAGTACGGACTGTTCAGATTACTCCGGTAGTCATTTTGAAGTGTGGGGAGGTTGCCACGCCCACCATACTGAAAACCGCCGTAGTGTGGAGCCGCTTGGGGATCCAACCGTGAACCGACATCTGCGACATGCGCAATCGGCGGTTGATAGTTGCTCTCCATCGAATTGAAGTGGGCGCTTGGTTGTGAAGAGGTCTTTGGGGGGAGAGGATGGGTGTCGCGTTGGTATTGTGACGGAATTTTCCGGGAGGGTGCTGGCTGAGCAGTGGCCTGATCCAGATCCAACAATTCCAAAGCTCTCACCGTCTCGTCGTACTTTTGTTTTGAGGGCAGGTGGTATTGTTCAACGTGCTCCGCATTCAGCAGTCGCCCATTCGGCTTAGCATATGTTGGCGAGACAGCATTGTAGCGGGAGAGAGTCCCAACTGACATCCCATTCGTGTCTCTAACCGGTCCATAATTGACTTGTTGGGGTACATGTTCGGTGTGTCCATTAACAGCCGGTAGATGGTGCAGAGATTGAACTGAACCATCCTCGAACTCCTGGAGCGAACCAAAGATGCTATTCGAGTTGAAGGCGGTTGAGTTGAAGACTTGAAGTTGAGGATCGATCTGGCTACGGCCAAAAGTGGAGGCTCGCGTGGGAGAAGGAAGTACCCGAGGACCGGCTGTGATGGCGCGTCGGAGATGTTGTTCATCAAATGAACTTTCTTCCACATCGGGGGCACTACCCGCAAACAGGCTCGATTCCTGTAGGCCACCACTATTGCCACTGGCACCGAAATCCAACATCTGATTCTGTCTCTGCTTGGTCGGTGAGAGAGGTTGACCTCGTTGTCTCAGCGGGAAGCCGATAGTGGACGAAGCTGGCGCCCAGGACATCTTGAGCTGGGACGCATTCTCATCGGTGAGGTCGATGGACGTCAGTAACGAGGACGAGGCAGGCTTGGATTGCCCATAATTTGAGACAGAGCCTTGACGCATGGGGGACGCTAAAGAACAGTCAGCGAACATGTCAGCCGCGCCTGGACCCAACGTACGTCTGATCGGGTCACTATCCACGCGAGCCTCCAAAAAGGACTTGTTGGTGCCCCATATCCGACTCGAAGCATTCCAAGCATTCTTTCCCAAATCGTAGTCGCTGCCCTGCCCAAGATGTTGTTTGGAGGATGGCATCCGTTCAAATGCTCCGCTTCGACCGTTTCTCGCCTGATGTGCACTGATCAGCACCCCCACTTCCGATGGGATCTTCGACTATACTCACTGTGTCTAACGTGGCTCCGGCCTCCATCATGGTCATTTTTGTAGTCCAACACGTGAACAAAACAGACAAAAGAGGTCGGGTCGGCCAAGTATGCGTGGTGAGGTGAAATGTGCAGAAGGCTTGTCGGTCTGGAGGGAGGGGTGGTACTTGAGGATATGGACTGGAAGCCTGGGACCGGCGAGGAAAAGGGAAAACCGAAGTATTTTATCGACTGTCGATAACAGCAGAGTCAGTTTCTGGTGTGTGCGTGCACATATGACTGCGCAGGACAAGAGGGGTGGGATGTGTACCAATATCCGTGAATATGCAGGGTGAGGATGTACACCAACCGACGGAAATTATAATATACCCCGTTGTAGATACAAGGAGGAGAAGAGAAGGAGGCAGAGAGATTAAAGAAGGAGAAGATGTGACCGGTAGGAAGCAAGGTTTGGCAGAGTCATGTACCCCTTCGTTGGCCAGCAAAGCAATGGTACAATTCTCCCAGCAGGCAGCCGCAGGGCAAATGAGAAATCAAGGCCCAAGCCTGATGGCGCCGTAGACGGGTAGCCGCAGGAGACGGGCGAGGGAATATCTGCCAGCAGACATGCGCCTCGACCACGGCTTGCGCGCATGAAGCAAGGGATAGAAAATATGATGGGACGAGGGGTGCGAAGTTGTGGAATGCTGCGTCGCCAGGTTTGTGCAAGGTGAGTCGCAAATTCGGGGTGGGGTGGCGGGCGCGGGCGCAGGCGCAGGTGAGGGAGGAGGAGGGATGGGCTGAGAGATTCGGATGCGGGTTGTGGTGGAGCAAGGGCAAACAGAATTCGAAGTGTCAAAAAAACAGATGGCTTGCTAACAAGGGATAAGGATGACTTGCAAGAAACGAAGTGGAAGTTTGGAAGAGAACGATCAAGGGTTGAAGGTCACACAGAAAAGAACAGGCAAACAGGTACCGGTGAAGGATGGTGGTGGACGACAACCACAAAGATGATGTATCAGAAAAGTTGAGCGGATGATGGAACAAAGAGTTTCCAGCGGGTGGACGGTAGTGGACGGTCAAGAAAGTTGGGCCTAGTGAGCCTAGCCGTTTGGATGATGCGCAGGCATAGGGCAAGTCAGGGCCGCAGGGGGAGGAGGGGGAGATAGGCGGCACCACCCCAGATCGACACAAGGGCTAGGCGCCCACTAGGCTAGAACCCACAACAAGAATCGGGGCCTCCCTAAGCCCAACATAGCTTTTCTCCCAGTTGGCAGATGCCAAATGCCAGTACGAGTAGGTAGGGGAGTGGGCCCGACCGCCAGCCTGAGCCTGTTTGGCGTCTTCGGGTGGCTTGCCTTACTGATGATGGGTTCTTTGTCTGGGTCTCTCAGAAAGGACTTTCCCATCATCTGTCAACAAATCGGGGGTCACCATCGTTACCACCACCCGGAAAAAGCCCCCAATTAAGGGCTGCTATCATTGTGAGGGAAGCCGACTTCCAGCGAGCTTCGATCTAGCTACCTACCTACAGAGTACCTACCTACCCAAGTCCCCAAAGAGCCAAGTCAGAGCTTAGACTGTCAAGCGACAAGTCAAGAAAATCCCAAAGTTCAGGAAAATGCAAGGGGGAAAGCAAGGGATGCGTGGGGAGGTCAGCCTATGACCACTACGAAAAGAGTTTGCTCTGAATGTCTTCCGCCCTTTCTGGATTTTCTGGTGGTTTCACTGCACAACGGTGTGCACGCAGCTCACTGCATTGGGTGGTTCCACATAATCCAGAATTCATACATACTCGTAAGTATCTAGTAATTATTACATGTGGAAAGTATAAATCCGCACAACCAGATACCCGTAACAACCTATGTGTTTGTGTGAGAGTAGGCATCAGTCACCTGGTTGGGTGACAGTTACAGCCTCACCACCATCACTAGCCTGTTGAGCTGACTCAGAGATGACGCCGGGGGAACAACCACACCTTTTTCCTGTTTGCCATTCCCTTCAGGCTGATGGGCGAACTGACTGGCTGTGTGGGGGATTCTCCCTGCCCCGGAACAAGACATGAAATGTGACGTGGCAAGACGGCGACAGTCATTACTTGAATAATGACCAGCACGCTACTCCAGCAGCCTATAAGTATGTGTGTACTCGGTACCTCGTACCTTCTACCACAAGTACTCATCGAGGTAGTAACCTGGACTAACTAGGGCTGTTCTTTCATGCATTAGGTACTCGGTACCGAGTATAGGCAGAATGATCTCAAGCGAGATATGACTGTCCGAGTATGTAAGCATTGATTGACTCTACAAGCACCCAGTACATGTGCTCTGGCTGGGCGTCCCTTAGCTGTTCTTGGTAAGAAAGGAGGATTGCCATGAACAAGTACAATGTGCGAACACATGCCAAGTACGCAACTGGTTTCATCAACGGGCGGGTATAACTGCCGAAGTTGAATGTGCTTTGCTCGTTGAAGTCATCAATCTCATCAGATGGAGGTGGCAAGGGGGCAAGGGAGAAGAGTTATATACTGTCCGCTACAGAGTGTCCTCGTAATGTGCTTGGAGAGATGGAGATAAAAGGATGGACAATTTCACCTTTGGGAAATGAAAGGAAGTGGCAACCTACCTGATTTGTTTGTTGATGGATTGCCATTTCCAAGCCTAACATGATAAAATCGTTGCTCTAAGCTCCGTGTGCCGACTGTTGTGGCCCTTACGTGGCCCCCTAAGATTCTGGGCCTTGGCCCCATTGGCCCATTCCGGGCGCCTTGCGAGATTGGGGTTGATGATTGGCACCGCCTGGGCACTGCCAATCCACAACATGTGCTTACCTAGTTCCATCGGCGCTCCGAACCCCGGCCAGCCTGCGGATGCTGGCGACCGTTTGGGCGGCACTGTGGCTTGCAGAGGCCCCAGAATATGCCCTACTAATGGCTTGGGTGGCTGTGGGCGGGTCTCTCAGACTCTTTTCGACTCGCTGTCACCGCTTAGAACCCGGCAAATTGAGTGTCAGGCTTGATCTGCGCAGTGGAACTCGCTGCTCCATCGACATCACTGAACGGCGGTGTTGGTGCTCTCCCCAATATTGCCATCTACTACTAGTCACTCACTCCCTCTCTACCCATCAACAACTCTTCTCGAATTTTGCTACACCACAATCCTCTCTTTCCTTCTCTTTCTTACACTCTGCTTCATGCTTGTTGGCAGTCTCCAGCTTCACTCTTTTGCTGGATTCTCGCCGTCCGTTCTTTCCTAACACGCTCACTAGCTTCATAATCTTGGAGAGAGATAAGGTTGTTCCGCCTGGTACCAGAACGGCTGTGCCCGCGTTGACGTGCTGCTGCTGCTCGGACTTCCTGCAGACTCTGCATTGGCATTCGGACTCTTATCAGCGTTTTCTACGCCCTACAGCCTGATTCAGGGCGATAGTTGAGACATCGACTCTCTTTAAAGAAGTTCACGATCGAGCCCGCCGCCCCCAAATCCATCCCGCATTCCCATCGCAGTGCCAGACTCCGATCTCCGACTGTCCCTCACCTCAGCCTCATAGCTAGAGATCTATATTCGTCTACGTCCTCGAAGGACGCCTCAAAGAGTCTACGACGACTGCGGAGCTGTAGTCATGGACTCGTTAAAATACACATATCTTCAACGTCGTGATGGTTCGGACTTTGCAGACGACGGACCATCATACTCAATGCACCAGCTCCTGTTTGTCCTCTTCACGCTCGTGCTCATGGCCTTGCTGTGCTCGGTAGCACTCGTCTGCCTTCGTCGGCGACGGCAAGTCAAAGAGCAAGATGCACTATTACCGACACACCACCAATCGTCGCATTATCGCTCTCCATCAATCAGCCATTTCGGTCACCAGAACAAGAACGAGTCCATCTTTGTCTACGACGAAAAAATGAATCTGATCCACAACTCCTCCAGCCCTCCTTCCACCGCAGTCCCAGAAATCCACATCACCTTCCCCGATGAAGAGGGCAAGACTGGCTTGCAGAAAGGACGTGTCGTGGTAGTCCACGTTACCGACTCGGGCAGTGTGGGCATGGAGCCGCTCAACCAAGAGAATCTACCACCTTATCGGAAAGAAGACAGCGACCGATTTCAATCCCTCGACCTCGAACGGATAGGTGGACTTCGGGAAAAAGAACCTTTAACTCAGAGGTTCTCATGAGCCGCCTCGCCAACTCTGATGTTGTCCCAATGGACAAAGAACCCCCAATTCTGCGGAGGAGCTACCATTGCTCCCCAATACTGCGGCGCCACAGTCCATAATATCCGATTCCGCTGCGATAATTGTGTGGGGGAACCATCTTGATGGGAAATCACACCGCTACGATGATTGTACAGAAAGCTAATATGGGGTGCCGACCTTGTTCATAGAAGCCCTTGAGTGGGAATTTTGTACATATTGTATAGTCGACACGCATCTCTGCAGCATGACCGGCCTCTGTGCCTCAATTCAATACGAGATGTTTGCCATGTTACAACGGGTGCGTAGCTCGGTTCCAATTCACTGACAAGAGACGAGATGTGTTCGCATGCAGCTAAAAAGGTAGCTTACTTCTGAAATGTGTGGTTTATGCCATATTTGTAGAACTTCGAATGCACAACCTGCAGCGAGCCGAGCTCCACCACCAAGTCATCGACAGGTCGAACCCGGCACCGGCACATTGAGACTCATTCAGCTCCCAGGGAAACACCTGAGCTCCTCACAGACCCAGTTTATCACGCCGATTACTACTAATACCAGCACCCACCACACCACAAAGTCATCATCATTGCCCACCAACACTATCCTTACGCTCGCTATCCCCCATCTCATTATTGTTTGTTTGGCCTAGATGGCTTCCACGTGTCACTGCCTGGCTGAGAACAGGTTTTTGTGAAGCTCCACTTTCTCATCTTCCAGGTGGAAAACGCGTCAATAGCGCCTGGCCAATCACTGCAACTCAACCTCGACCAATTCCGCATTTCTGTGTTGACAAGCCGACACAAACACTGCGATCGCCTCCGTCACCGCGAGGACCCCTCTGGTCCCTCTGTCTCTGATTGTGAATCAAGCCGCGATTGTATTGTCCCCTCGTCACCGATCTAGATTGTCCAACTATTCTCCTCCCTGGTGTCGTTGATGTGACCGCAGCCAACTGCACAAATGTCCATCCAATAGTCGACACCCGCGTCGCCATTGTCTCGCCCCGTTCCACCTTTGCCTGCTATGGCTACTGCGCAAGTAGTACCCGGCGATGATTCTTTCAACTATGGCCTGCACACCTCCATGGATGACTCGGCAGATCCTTTTGTCGACGATGGCCAGTCACGACAGCCATTTCACGGCCACCGCTACTCCAGCTTGGTCGACCCCGAGTCCATAGCGTTGGGCATCAGCATGTCCCCTTCTCAAGTCAAACGGAGCCTCATAGCGCACATTGCTGAAACCGAGCGACGCTTGCAAGACGCCCAAAAGCTGGGGGAGTCTCTCTTGTTACAGCAGTCGGAACTCAATGACAAGCTGCGCGAAGTAGAAGAACAACAAGGCGAGGCAGAGATTACCCCGGAGCTGCGCCAAAGGCTGGCTGATCTAGAAAAGGAACACAACGATGTGGGGAAAGAAATTGCGAGGGCACTTCTTGGGCCAAAGTCCAGAGCTGTCAGCGGAGAAGAAAAACCCGGCATGGAACAAGCCATCTACTCCAGCCAGGCGACAGCATCTCCTTCAAAAGTCATGGCCCCTAGCCGGCGTCAGCGCAATCAACCAAGCAATCGAGGCGATGATCTACAATTTGCGGCCGATATCAGTACCTCTTTGCTCGCCCAGGTTCGACAGTTGCAAAGTGCCGTAGCGGAACGAGATGAGCTCCTGAAAGAGGTCAAGTCCGAACGTGACCGCCTGGAGAAAGATGCCACTCTTTTCTCACAGCGGCTGCGAGCCTTGGACGAGAGCGAACAAAAATACAAGGATGAGAACTGGAACCTTGAAACCCAGACGCATGAGTTGCTGGCAGCGGCTCGTGAAGCCGCCGACCGCGAAAAACGGCTCACTGCAAGTCTGGCTGCTGCTACCGCCGAGAAAAGCCGGACACAGAGCGAAATGGACGAAGTGAGAGCAGCTCATGAAAAGTTGACTGCTGATCATGCCGCTGCTAAAAAGGCATACGATTCCGAGCTGCACACTCTCAAGCGCACAATAGATTTGGGCGACAGTGAAAGGTCATCGTTACAGCACAAGATTGACGAGTTGACATCACAAAATCAGGAGCTTGCCCGAGCTGTCGCTGCTCGCCTGCGCAGTGCTCAGCCGGATGCCGTTACTGCGAATCAAGAGCAGGAGGAGGACCTGAGAGACCTTGAATCCCTTGAACATTCGCCACCTCCGTCCCCTACCAAGGCTACTCCAAGGCCAGGGGCTTTGGAATCCGAGACTCTGCGTAGCTCGTTACATCATGCCCATCGGATGATTCAAAACCTCAAGAACAACATTCATCGTGAGAAAACCGAAAAAATTGAGCTCAGACGCATGCTTCAGGATGCCCGCGATGAACTTGAGCAACGACGTGGAGATGGTTCCCTGGGAAGTGCAAGCAAACGCCAAAAGCCCAAGCCTGATGCTTTCAAGAAGCCAGTCCGGCCTGATATGCTGGGTGGCAGCCGACGGGCGCGGACCGACGTCGAACTCGAAGACGATGATTGGGAAGATCATGCGATCGAGACACCGAGTCGTGCAGTCAGTCAAAAACACTTGACCGTGCCGTCTGCTAGTGAAGGTATTACTGATGCAAGCGATGCATACCAAACTGCGAATGAGACAGAGAACAATTTCGAAACCGCGGACGAGAGACATGCGACAGAGAGCGAGGACTTCCAAACGGGTGCGGAAAGTCTGGCAGGCGACAGTACAGACGACCTTACCGAGACAGAAGATACTGCCTCGCATGGTCGACGGACGGGCTATGCTCGTCGTTCAAGACCCAGCCTCACATTCAAGCCTGCTGGAGATCGACAGTCCTTCATTAGCACTGCCTCAACCTCTGCCGGTGAAGAGGAAGAAGCCCTCAAAACGCCTGTGGTTACCCAAGCTCACAAATTCCGACTCCGAAACGGACGACAATCATTCGCTCGCCAGTCCAGAGTACCAACCGACAGCACACCGACAAATCTGTACTCAGACAATCTGTCCCAAGACTCCCCGGCCACGGTCACCAGTGATCGTAGTCCACCAGCTGCTGAACAGAGTCTTTTCGCAGAGTTGGGTGGCTTTGACGAGACAGCAAGTTTTGGCACTCCGGGAAGAGCCAGCTTAGCTTCTGTCGCTTCTACACCTGGCGTCCTAATTCATACGCCAAGTAGACAGCATGCACAGCAAGAGACGCCAAAGAGCGCCGTCAAGCAAACCATGGTCGACGCCGCAACGAATACAGAGCCATGGGAACCAGAACGAGATCTGCCCGTTCAGGCTGGCCGCACAGAAGAAACTCTTGACGAAGTACCTTCTCCTTCCTACGAGAGGGCGGAGTCACCATTACCCTCTGACTTCCCGTTGCCTCCGACCGTGCCAGCCTCACCAGTCAAGCATATAGACCACAGCACCCAGTACACACCCCAGCGAGGATTACAAGAAAGCCCGATCAGGAACACTGCATTTATCACTCCACCCAAAACCGTTTGGGATGAAGCCCAGAGTGCAGATGTGATTCAATCCGAGGTTGATGCTGGAACGCACCCGCGAACACCCACAAGATTCGAGTATTCGGGTCTTGTAATGCATGATACCTCGCCAGTGTCCCTGGAGGCCCAGCCTCAGCAGGAGCCTCCGCAAGCCGAGCCATTCACTTTCTCTGCTATTGAATCACAAACCACTGAGCCTGTTCAAACTCCGACAAAACCGGCAGCTAGTGTTGTTACGGCCTCGACACAAGTTGACGACCTTCCAGACCGTCCACGAACAGCGGAACGAGTCGCTGGGGCTGGCCTTCTCGCATCTGCTGCAGCCGCCTTGGGCTTTAGTAAGTCCAAGGAGGCGCCAATCCCCACAATTGCAGAAGATGAGACAAGGGAGCCAGAGCAGATGGTGAAGGAGCCCCTTTCTGAGGAGGATGTTCCTCTGAGAGATGTGTCCGGCAACAGGGGTCAATCTCTGCGAACACTGGGGTCGGAAGTGCAGAAAGGGGGCCAAGCAGAACGACCGCGTATCAACCCCAACCATGACCAAGGCTCTCAGACGCTGCTTACTGCTGCCGAGATTGACGAGGCTCTTCGCCCCAGGACTGCAGTTCCCATAGCAGTTCCACCAAGTGCCGAGGCAGCACAGGATATCACCAGCCCTCTCAGCCCGTTGACGCCCACGGAAGAGCCTCTGACGAGTGATGCGAATGCACTGTTCATGAACAAACCAGCTCCCGAATCAACTGGGGCAGTTCCAATCTTTGCACCACCACCCATCAAGCGACCGTCAAGCGCGTCAAGCCAGCGATTATCGAGCGCAGCGTCGCACCCACCTCTCCCAGCTGATCACAAAGAGGCCATCGCTAAGGCCAGCAGCCGGGTAGCATCTCCCACCAAAGAACTCGGCGGTTCAAGCCAAACATCAACGGTTATGGGCCCACCAGCTTTTCCTGCCTCAGCAATGCGGCGGCCACGCACTCCAGGCGAGTCTGTGCGGTCTGCTACTCGTGACAGTAATCAACCACGGACGTCCAATGTCAGTCGTACCCAACGCGGAACGATCACTTCTCAAATATCCCGCCGATCCTCAGTCTCCTCGTTCGCCTCTGAAATAGATGAACGCTTTAACATGCACCAGGCAGGACAGGTCGCTGCTCATGGTTTTGGCACTGATCCGAGGATTATTCAAGCCATCACACAGACCATGATTGGTGAATTCCTGTGGAAATATACACGAAAGGCTGGACGATCTGAAATGTCCGAGACCCGTCACCGTCGGTATTTCTGGGTGCATCCTTACACCAAGACTCTTTACTGGTCGGACCAGGACCCACAAACAGCCGGCAGGACTGAGCTGAAGGCGAAGAGCGTGCTGATAGAAAGCGTCCAAGTCGTCCCTGATGACAACCCCATGCCACCTGGTCTTCATCGGAAAAGCCTTGAAGTCATTACCCCTGGCCGACGTGTGAGATTTACCGCCAGCACCGGCCAAAGGCACGAGACTTGGTTCAATGCCCTCAACTATTTACTCCTCCGCGGTGAAGAAAACAACCAGTTTGCTGTTGGTGGAAATGACATTACCCGAGACGACCTGGAAGAGTTCAATGTGCATGGTGCTGGTTACGGAGCCGCCTTGATACCGAACCACAGCCGAATGAGCCTCTCGAGCTACAACTCCCGCACAACACGAGGCTCGCACCGAACTTCGGCCGTCCAGCGCCAACAACTCGCGCCCGGCGCCGTGGTAGCCAGTAGCACCACCCGTGTCCCTCAAGACTCCATGATGAGCCGCACTGCGCCAAACTCGACAGTGCGGCAGAGTCGGGCCGAACAGACTCGAGAACATGACAACGACCGCACCGTTCGCGCTAGCAGCGCGAGTCGCTTTTCGCGTATGCTGGGGTCAGTGACTGGACGAACGCCCAAAGCAAGTGAGCCCACAGTCAGCACTCCTACACGAGCTAGCGGCGCAAGGAGTGAAGGGGGTAGTATCTACGACGCCAGTGTGGTTAGTGATGGGCGGAAAGATTCTGCTGAGGAGTTGAGGAGGGAGATGCTGAGGCAGGAGGAGGCTGCGTGGAATGGAGGGCTAGAGAATGTGAGGGCTTGTTGTGATGGTAAGTTACTACTTTCTCGCGTGTCACTTTTCCGACCCAATTGCTGACATGTGCTTTGCAGGCAAACACGATGTGTCAACCCTAAGTCACAGTCACCGCCACGCTTCGTCATTAAGTCACGGGCACAGGAATCTCGGCTTAAGTATGAGCCTTCGAGGCTCGGTTCGAAGACGAGACCAGTCCAATACTCCAGGTCGCGCTACCCCTGCGGCGGCATCAGCAGTGACCGCAACGACCCCGACGAGACAAGCTGCGGCAGCCACGGCGTCATAGAGGGCGTTGAGGGTCTGCGTGAGCGATGGGGACCGGGCGTAGTTCAACGGCATGAAGCAACGGCAACGGCGTACCGGCAACAGCTTTGGGGCATCCTCGCTTGAACCTTTCCTCCAACAACCGAAAAAAAAAAGTCAAAAGGTCCTTGTTATCTGGAAGTATCAGGCGTTTCTGTCCGTCACTCTTTTTTCTTTCCTATGTCTGCAAATCTCTTGTCGGGGCGAATGGCATAGCAATGCACGGTGACGACTTTGATGTGGCGGAGAGCACAAGTACTGAGTCTGAGTCTGAGTCTGAGTTTGAATTGGGGAGGATCTCCTGGTTCAAGGCCTGGCCAGCTGGGTGTGAGCATGGGTGTGGGCATCGGGGGCACAAAGGCACGCGATCTTGTCGATAATCTTTATTTGTTTCTTCGGGGGGTTTTTTCCCTTGTTGCGCCTGTTTCCTCAGTGCTGGTAGATGATGGTGGTGGTGGCGGTGGTTGGAGTGACGGGGATACTAAGAGTGACGGCCGATGCGTGGTGGAGGCATAGCAGGTCCTGGTCCTTGGTCCTTGTCCCTGTCTTGTCGAGCGAGAATAATGAATTGCCATGTGAAAATGAGTCCAACATCGCGAATAATTCCTGTGTTCCACGACTGTGTTCCCTGGGGTGCGTCATGCTTGGGACGAATTGGCCCGAGGAGAGGAGTAGAGGAGTCGAGGAGGACCTGTAGCCGATCAGCTTGAGGGGTCTGATATGGACGGAGAGTTCTATAGAGGAGAAGCGAGGCGAGGCGAAGAAAGGAGAGACTGTAGAGTAGAGAGAGAGACTATGTATCTAGTATGCACTACAATGCAATCCACTATGCCGAATACCGTATTGCATTACATGGCATTTAATGGCTATTGCTCTTCATTTCTGTTCATACCGATCAGTCATTGATTGTCATATCATGGTCGTTGTCATCATCATCATTCATCTCATCAATCTCATCATCCTATCTCGATCCCCGTGTGTCTGAGAGCTGCATCGTCTCTGGGCCACGGGCCATAAGAACAAGGGTCCCCCCATTCAGTAGGCTTCAATCAAGAGACGAGTGAGCAACTGTAGCTCGTATATTGTATTACATTTGTAGTGCCCGTCCTCTCGTCCTCCCCCACGCCTTGATCTCTGTCTCCTCCCCAACTTTTTCTCTGTGGTGTCACTTGGAAGCTGCTTGGCTCTCCCTTGTCATGACATCCGAGAGCTTGGGGTGGAGTCTGGCAGATGCCATTCTCGAGCCGTCTCTTTGCGGCCTTGAGCGTGGGACAGCAAGCCTGACCCCAATAGAGTCGTTGCACGGGTCGAGATCTTTGGCGTCTATCGAAGTGCCGTGTCCGGCTGAAGGAGCCACGCATGACCAATCTCTCCTGACCTCCTGTTCCATCACATAATATAAACCTTCTTAACCTGGTCCCAAGTAAAACTTTGGCCAGTCGTGGGATCTCTCACTTCCCCTTCTTTGCCAATTTGTACCTCGTGTGTGCCGCTTTGACCTCCTGATCCGCCACCCCCAGCCATGACCAGTTTCCGCTGCAACTCCTCTAATCGCGCACGGCCGTAGATACGCCCATTCGGTAGGACAACTGGGTCGGGTTCCACAGAACTGACAGTGTGATGTGCATAGGGGACATTGCGTGCCAGCTCGTTCAACTCCATGCTGCAGATTGGACACAAAGAGGAATTCGTCGCGATACGAGCGTGACCGGGTGTTGAAGAACTCGCGGGATTGTAGGCACTGTGGCATGCGGGAGTCTTCAATGCTGAGAGACCCGCCGACAGCGCGACGTGGAGGAGGGGTTGAATTGGCAGAGACAGCAAAGTGTGGTGGGTCTCGACGAATAGGTTGGATAAGTGGTGCCATCGTGACGGAGCAAATAGCGTACGATACGGTTCGACTTCTGTGTCGGGTGAGTTCACCAATAGACCAGCTGCTTGCATGATTGACTCTGCTCGGGATGCAATATGGGGCGTCAGGTGTTGTTGGGCATGGGCTCTTGCTTCTAGTCTCTTCGCAGTTGTCCCTGCACGGACCAGTTCGATATATTGTTGGAAACGTAGCTCAAACTCGAGATCGGTGGTTTTGTGAGGCGCCGTAGTGAGTTTCTTGAGCGAGTTTTTGTTCTCGTTGATCCAAGCAAGGGCCTCCCTAGTTTCGCCACGGGTGAGTGACGAGGCAATCTTGTGGCAGGTAACAAAAGTATCGAGGTCAATCAGGTGAGAGATCTGTTTGGTTTCGGCAAGCGAGTTGGCGGTCTTGGAGTAGCCCGAACGCAGGAGGTAGTCGACAATTAAACGGTCGAGACGAGTTCGCGACCACTCGTCGTACTTGACGTCCACCAAAGAGGGAATGTCATAGAGGTCATGTAGATGCTTGATCCGCTTGGCCGAGTGGTCATGAAGGGCTTCTTCCTCAATATGCAATTTTTCCAGCTTGCGTTTGAAGTTCTGCATTCTCTGTATCATGGCATCAAGTGAAGCGAGTGTCTCCTCTGTGGTCTGTGACGAGCTGAGAGCAGCATTTGCGGTGTCCTTGAGAGCGGGAAGGATGTAGTCTCTCTCTCGCTCTACATAACGCTGGGTGTTTCTGAAATTGCGTTTGACGAGTTCATGTGGGAGGCGGAGGAGAGGTTGGTCCTGCGCACAGACTGTCAGTTGCACTGCACTTTGTACGTCCGGGAGATGCCTGGATAGCGGGGTGCAGTACCAGCAAGATATGGCTCTCTGGGTTGAGTTTGGTTGCAGACAAGTCCGCAGCCATTTTGAGGACACTGGAGGTGATTGCAGTGCCCCAAGTTTGTGGTGTTGACAGTTTGTATCGAGGTCCGCTTATTTATAGCTCGGCGTAGGTCTATCGTCCATTCATGTGGTAGTAGCTGAGGTAGTTGTGGGAGTGATGGCGCACCTGTGCGTCAAGTTGTCGGGAGTCGTGTGATAGCGGGTAAGGGGCATAGTGCTCCACCATAGTCGCTACGGACAACCATATCGCCTGAAAGTGCAAACTCATGCACTTCTCTGCGATCCAGATGTTCCCATTACTTGTACATGATTTGTGCAACAGCATTATGGTATCGTGTTACAACTCTCTCGCGAATCTGCCTCGGACGTTCTCCACTCGACTGCGTCCCAAAGAAAATTCCGACGATGGCACACACACACTACGCTCTCGAAGATTGATCTAAAGCTAGGGAGCTAATAGCCGCCACCACCGCTTGATTCTGGCATAAACGCAGACTCTACTTGAAGGCCTAAGGCTCAGCTGTACCTGAGCTACCACTCAAAATGAGGGACAAATACTTCTGTGAGATTCATCGACAAGGGCCAGCGATGGATCATTGAAGGCTCGTGGTTGGCGGCTGCGTCAACACCTCAAACCAACCCACATCAACCGCCATAGCGCCGGAAAACGCGGGAATGCACAATATTGAGGACATCAGGCCATTTCTGCCGTCCTGATGCTCGGGGTATAGCTCCTGGTTGGATTAGCAAACCCTGTGAGCCCGGGTCTCCTGGCGTTATCCACCCGAATACGCCAACACGTTTTGCACAGCCTCGAGTTCCGAAGGCTTCCATTCAAAAGTCTCGGATGGTTTTCCTCCGCCAATGTCCATACCATGACGACAGGCTGATGCGGCCACAACTCCACCCATACCCAGCGTCGGCATTGTTGCACAAAGCTTTAAAGGGCCAGAGAAATATCATGTTGGCGGGCCTCAAGTCTTTCTGCCATTTTTATCGTGCAAACCGTCTTTTCTCGATATGGCAGTTCCGGCATCTTCCGGTGCCCTGACAGCGTTCGCGATACTCCAGCTGGTCCTAGGCTTCATTGCTCTGATACTTGCAACCTTTGCCGCCGTCTGTTTCGGCGTCGAATTCGCGTATGGTGTCGTTTGGTGGTCGGTCAGTGCAAATCTCAGCTCAGATGAAGGTTTTCTATACGGAGGCCATACTAATACAGATCACTTTTTAGTTTGGCTGGACACTGGTCACCTCTTGCCTTCACTGGTGGACTGATGACCTTCGACGCTCGACCATAGAACAAGTGATCCATCTTGCCTTTGCAGCTTTCACTCTGATCAGCTGGGTGGTGGCCACCGGCGTGCTTGTTTCTTTGAACATACATTTGCACCACCTCTCCGGGATCTACGCAGATGATATCAGGAATGATGTCCCACTGACTGGCGAGTTGTTGACCCATCAATTCAACAGCCTGGGTTTGGGCGGGCTTTATTGCAGCTACGCGGCCAACGCAGTGACGGGTGTCATCTTGTGGGTTGTGTCCCATTGAATAAGTTCTTCCTGCTGACGTTTGTGGCAGCATGATATTCTTCTTGTCATTCTATCGAGGCATCAAACTCCTGAGACTATCCAGGGCAGCCATGTCGAGCGACAATTCGGAGCCGCACCTTTCATATGAGAAACTTACGACGCAGGAGCAAGTGGTGCGAAAGATGGCATCCACATCCTCATCCTCGTGAAGGGGCTTTTTCGAGACACGTCCTTTACGAAAGCAGTCGAGGGTTCTTTTGAACCACCACAGACGTACTGCTTGACGACGGAGGCCTTACCACAGTTCTGGACCCTCATCCCACGAGGGAATATCCGAGATCCTTCCCACTACCCATCTCCACCAATCTTTTCCGCATGGCTTCCGCTCTCTCACCCTTTGGCCCCTCCATCGGGAAGTGCGCTCTGTCAACCCAATCTCCTACTGCATGCTGTAAGACCTGTCGAGCACGCTCGGTTCCGTGTCCAGCCAATCCCACGGATCCGTGCAGTGTCATCCGGCCCAGCTCCTTGGACACATCGATGCCCTTGTAGACACCTCGATGGAGGATGTTGCTGTCGTAAAAGACGCCGTCTCCAGGCTGCAACTCGACAAGGAGTTGTCCTGGTAGATTTGGCTCATACGGAGCGGCTTCTCTCTCGGTCTTGGTTCTTACCCGTCGATGACTACCAGGTACCACAATAAGAGATGCATCTTCGAATAGCGCAATGTTATACTGCGCGTGCAACTGTTGACCGTCGGGGCTTTTCTCCTTGAGCTGTCGCTCTTCTTCCTCGGGATCTACGTCGGGTCGAATATCGTCTCGATGCCAGCAAAGCTCAAAGTCTACCTGGTCGGCCGGGCTGACCAGCAGATTGAACAGCTCCATCACGAGCTTATCGTCCCCCGCGGGATCGTCCTTGAGCCCGACGAGCTCCTTGACCACGTCGAGGACCTGGTCGCAGAAGTAGACCTCGGCAAACGTGTCGCGGACGTTCATGTCTGGGTGGAGTAGATGCTGCACGCCCCAGATGTTGTCGCCCGGTTCCCAGTGTTGCCACGGCGGATATTGCTTGGGCACGGTGCGCACATGCGGCCATTTGCCATTCCTGGCCCGTTCGGTCGTGTATTTGCAGCATGCCTTCATGGCCAGGAGGACGTGTGGTGGCAGGATCTGGGGGACCTTGACGAATCCGTCGCGCCGTAGGGCGTCTAGATATGGAGTTGATGACGCCTCAGAGGCCATTCTTTTGGTGCTTAGTGTCTTGACTTGCGGGAGGGGGGCCTCGAGGAATAGAAGATTGACAGAATAAATTATTTAACCGCCCTTCGTTAACCGAGTAAATCAGATGGTCAAGAGTGTTAAACGTGATGTGAATCTGGAAGAACCTGAGAAAAATGTCGAGGAGACAAGACAGCGACTTCCCCGCACGCAACGCAGTCAGGCTGGAGCTGCTGGAGGTTGATGGATGATACGCTGCCACTCCCGCTGCTACTACAGTTGCTACCACCGATTGCAACGTCCAAAGAACGCAGTCTAGCAGTCTGTCAGTCTGTTAGTCTAGTTTTGCCACTCACACCCAAACCTCGTCGTTCTCCTCTTCCTGTTTTTACTCCTCCGAACCTCCGAGCGCGTATACAAGTATACCCCCCTCGACCCGCAACGACGACAGAGCCACGCTGGAATCATTCCAAGCCTCCGAAGAACCATTCCATCCTGTGCCTGCAGTACTCGATACCAGAAGACAGTCGAGTCAAGTCCGCAACTAACAAAAGTGGGAGATCTAGGCTAGTCCAATAAGAGTCTAGTGTGACTCGCATGATGCTGCGTCAAGTCTCACCCCCTGATTCGCATTCACATCCATTTACCATTCACACGCGCTTGCTTTGTTCATCGACAGAGCGACATCTTTGACATCTGGTGGCATTGTCTCGCAACGGTCAAGTGCCTTGTCCCTTGTTGTCATGCATTTTCTCTTTCATTCAACATTGTTCTACCCTGCCTTGTCGGTGAATGAGCTCGCTGCCTCTGCCATTGTTTCTTTCTCCGCCTCTGCCTCTGCCTCATCCTTGGCCATTGAACCATGCTTTGCCTGGGCCCCATAAGAAGTCTTCAAGTCGCTGGCAATATGACATTCTGTACAACATCACTAAATCATCATTCCCACCGCAAACATGCCTGTCCACCTCAAAATTGTGCAGCCAGACGCTCAGTCAGTGCCTCCAATTCCGTCTGACTTGACCCTCTTTGGCATTCATCCTCTTTTCCGTCAAGCCGCCTTCCGCTATGCCGATCATTCACAATATCTCCCCCTCGAAGAACTGGACAAGAGCACTTATGACCTCTCAGACCTTGTGTACGACCGCATGAAGCCGGCCCTGAGATTGGCGACCTTGTTCCTGAGACAGCTGATGCCGGAGCTCGCCCGTGTTGGCTTGGCCAAAGTCGAAGAGTTTACGTTCCCAGATGGCTACAAGGATAAGGTACTGACGGATGAATGGCAGTTCCTACAAACTGCAACAGAGTCCTTTGAACGACACACTCTGGGGCTTCTGTCCACCAAATATCGATTCACCATCTTGACACGTGAGTTCGCGCGCCGCCTTTGTGACGCCCACGGAGAGCTAGCCGGAACTTCCACACTGATCACTCATGACCCTGACGCTGAGTTTGATTTTGCTTACCCGCAGACTGCCTTGAACAGCTCGTGGTTCTGGTATTTTGCTAGTGAGGCCTGGGAGACAATTTCGACCGAAGAAAAGTACGCCAAACACTTCCTGTTCGCCTCCACCCTGATCCACGAACTTGCGCATGCTGTGTGGATCAATCGAGTCTTGACCGGGGCCCAGATCAAAGGCGTCGGCAACGGTGAGATTGACCTTGGTGTGGCCGAGCCGAGATGCTTCGCCTACCATGAGTTTGCCGAACTTGGCTGTGCAATGGAGCTGGAGCTTTTTGAGGGTATACCCTCCTTTCCCCACTTCGGAACCCCTACCGTCTCGGAAGCAGCCTGCCGCGACAACCCTTCCAAGGTGCTGTTCACAATCTTGGACGTCAAGGGAAGAGCCATGGATATCCACGAAGCGACGACCAAGACCATCTATTCATTCTTTGATCCTCGCTTTTGGGCCCCGATGGACGAAAACATCGCTGCGCAATTCGAGATTGAGCTTCTGGCGAACTCCCGAGTGCCTCGGCGTCGATTGTCCACTTGCCTTTCTGACCCCAGATCTCTCAACGGATTCAATGTGCCGGTTCTTTCAATGCCATTCCCTGGTATGTTGAAGCCCGCAATCACAGCTGACAATGAGCTATTTGATTGACTGCTGCCCGTAGTCAATCAGGTCTCCTCTCTACCCCTTTCCCTGTTGTTGCCCCCCCAGCACTGTGAGGACGTCTGCTCGGTATGTGCTTCCCCTAATAGAATGCCCCTATCATACGGACTAGGTATCATGCTTAATAAGAAGGTAAGTTTCCCAGACATTCATTTAGATATTGATTCAAATGCTAGCTCAATACCCAAACCTCTCTTGCTCTATAATGTTTCGGCTACAAGCTAATTCAAACAAGTGTTTCAAAATGACAACATCACCACTTTGTATCACGGGTGATGGTGTTCATCTTTGTCAATGCATTTCCCTGCCATCACGATTCGTTTGTCAAGATGCTAGACACAAAGAATCCCCGACAAAGAGTGTCATTGTCGGCCCCTTGTGTTCATGTGATGGTACAAACGGTTCTTTGGTGATTTGTACATGTTTTGCTCCTGACAAAGACTGTCGAACAACACTCAAAGGAGAGAAGCGGAACAAAGAAACCGATGCCTTTACGCATTGCTGCCTCGCTACTCTTGTCGTTACTTCAGCTCACTCATGCGATAGAAATTCTTGACAACTTCCATCCACATTGATATTTACCCCTTTACAACAGAACGAACCGTACTTCTGAAACCAATATCCAATATGCTTGTCAAATCAAAATCTGCCATTCCCCTCTTCATATTTCTGGCCATTGTGCTCCTCTTCCTCCCCTGCGCAGCCATCCTGTTGATATGGTTTCGTCAGAGACGTGGAAGACGAAGCGATGAGAAATCGAGAAACGAAGCCATGGAGTCCGTGGCCAAGAGCATGCCGAACTGGACACCATCGATCGAGCTGGGCAACATTGCAGCACCCCCACCAGTGGCATCAATCCGTCCGATACGCTCTCTACAGACCAAGAAGAATACACGTTTTCCCAGGCTGCACAGTGGCGGTTCTAGTGTCGATAATGCGTCCGGAAATCACCCTACCGAGATCACTGCTCCAAAGCCAACCAGGGCCGGCAAGAGATACAGCGTGCAGGTGCAGAGCATGGAGCATCTGGCCGCAGAGCAATCACCAAACCCATTCGGGGATGTCCCGACTTCTCAGACATCATCGAACACCGCCCGCTACGACTTCCAAGCGGCGCTGGTGATGGAGCAAAGCTCCGCCGGAGTGGGGAGGGCTGGGGAGAGATCGGCCTCCATCAACGACGCACCAAGGGTGAAGAGCCAGATTGTGAGACCAGAGCACGCTGCAGCGGCACGTGAAGGGAGCCCGTTTCCGCCCACGCCGAGTGTCCCCGCGGCGTGCTATGGGTCGGGACAGACGCCGCGGGGATGGTTGTAAAGACGACCGAGGAGTCCTAGCACACGAGAGGAGTGGATAATGAGACATGAACAGAAATGTAGAAAGTCAGAGTATATTCTTGTACTGTTATTCCTTTTCCCCACACCACTTGGACTCAGGATCAAGAATATGCTAGATATAAGCATTTTTGAACCAAGCAATCTCCAACAAGAAGACCAAGACTCGAAAGCGATTCGCCAAAGTCTATCCCGACTTCTTGCCCTCTCATACCCTAGCGTCCTGAATGGATTTTGGTCGGGCTTCTACTGTGCCCACCCCGAGGGAGGGAGGGATGATAGGAACAAGAAAAGGACGGGGAGAGGTGAGGTGGTGGGAAAGTGATGAATTAAATTTCTAGGAAAGGACCAAGCCCATTTTGAGTTTCTTCAGGGGGTTCCCAGCCTCGTCCTCCCTTTAAAGTCCCCTCCGGTTCAACGTCCCGACTCGGACGGAATTCACGTGTCTAGCACGTTTTCTACGTGATTTTCAAAGGACGGGAATTTCTCGGGGTTGGACCTCCATACCTCGTGCTTCAGATTTAAGGTCAACTAATTTAAGCTAAGGTAATCTAAGTCGAGTCAAAAAGAAGAGACGAGGCGAGACGGGGCGAGGCGAGGAGAGTAGAGAAGACATCACATGCTTTGCTTTACTTTGCTTTGAGCTCGAGCTCGAGCTCAAGCCTGAGCCTGTCCAAGTCCAGGTCCAGGTCCAGACCGAACTAACCAACCTCGTCAATATCACAAAGCGGAGAGTTCAAGAGTCCTTACGGAGCGACAAGTCGCGAGCAGCGAGTAGCGAGGATCGAGGATCGAGTATCGAGGTGTGATCGATCCCCCAACGACTCCTTAAAATCTTAAAGTGCTGGAGAAAGGAAAAAAAAAAAAAAGTTCGATGGATTTCATCACTAACAAAGGGGAGAGAAGCCCGTCCCGTTCCAACTCCTTGTACCTCGTACTTCCTCGCATCCGCACTTGTGGGTACTTGGGTACTTGGGTACATAGTACACAGTACCTCCATGCACCGCTAGTCCATGGACAGGTAACTCGGGGACATGTACTCGGTACCGAGCACATACTGTGCCGAGTACGCAACTACAGTAGGTACCTCGCGCTGCTCGTGCAGACTAGATGCGATGCAAATTACCAAATATCTCCGGCGACACGCCGGACAAGGGCCCCGCAAAAAAAAAAAAAAAAATTATATTAAAATCACGACATGGTGCTGAGGAATGGCGAACTCTTTTGAGGCGAGGCCCAGATGATTCTGTGTCAAAACGAGGAAAGAAAGAGAGGTGGGCGGTCTTGTCCGCTCGATACATAGTTTCAGTGCGAGGGCGGCGAGCGAGTCGAGCCGAGAGGAGGGAAGTAAGAAAAGTGGGAAAGGGCGGAGGGAGGGAGATGAGATCCGAACAACACTTGACAAGAACCCTATACAGGGGAATGATGGTGTAGCCTTCTGTAGCTTCAACCATGCAGAGTTGGCAGGTTGGGCTGGATCGCTGGTCCCCTCGTAGGTAAATTGTAGCGTCCATCTATATCTCTCCCAAATTCTATCGCATCCATTGCATCTATCGCTCTAATAGTCTAGTCTATCTTTCAGGAAGCTCGTAGTATAGATGGCAAAGAATATATCAAACATCTATTCATGCGTGTCATGTCGTCCCCCAGTCAACACCTCTCAACAACCACCTCCTGCAACATCTTCTCTATCTCCCCCTCACCTCCTTGACCATCCCGCGCACCGCCCGCGCAATCTCGTGCCGCCCGTCGTAGATCGGGTAGACGATAACAGAAAACATGGCGCCGAAATGCCAGATGATGGCCACGGTGACCCATCCCCCAAAAAAGCTCTTGGTGAAGATCCAGTCGCGGTACAGCGGCAGGGGCCAGAGGACGATGGTGACCAGGACGTTGACGACAAAGTAGGCGCTGGCGATCTTGAACCACTTCCGGATGTGGCGGAGGGTCGCGTCGTCGAAGGGGTGCACCACCTCGTCGAGGGGCACTTGAGCGTTGCGTTGACGGGGCTGTGCCACATTGCGGGTCGGGGATGTCTCCTCGCCACCGGTGCTGGTGACGTATGCTTCTTTCTCCGAGGTGCCCGCCGTCTTGGACGTCTCGTTGACGGCTTCGCTGCTGGGTAGGGTCGACTGCAGCGTGCTGCTCGGCTGGCTCTTGTCCTCGATCAGGTCGATCCGGAGGAATTCGCGCCAGTCGAACCGGCCCGGCCAGAGCAGAGAGATAATAACAGAATAGAGCGCGGGGGAGAAGAAGGAGACAATGGCCGCGTAGAGACCGGGCACCTGAGCCTGCGTGGTTTGGATGTTGATCGCCCCGGCCCACGCCCACGACAGCGAAAGCCACGTCGCGATACCCGACAACAACCCCAAAATGGGACTGAGGATCGCCGCCAGCTTCGTCTGTCTCGACCACAGAAGCGTCAAGATCATGGGCAGAATGCCAGGACACGCCACAATGGGTCGGAAGTAGGTGGACCAGTTGTTGGTGGCGCCGGCGTACTCGAGCATGATGGCGAAGCCGGCCATAAAACACCCGTGGAAGACGACGCCCCAGTGGCTCACCTTGAGCGTCCTGCGGTCGGACGCACCGGGGTCGATGTACGTGCGGAAAAAGTCCAGAGAGATGATGCTGCTGACAGCGATCATGGACGAAGACACCGTGCTGGTGATGGCCATGAAGATCAGCACAAGCAGCCCAGCAGTGGCACCGGTTCCAAGCAGCGACCTGAGCACATATGGCATCACCAGCCCTGAGTTGACCTGGGTGAGTGTCAAAGTGTTGGGATAGTCAAACCAGACTGGAGTCTTTTCGATGGCGCGGGCGCTCAACCCGATGATGGTACCCGTGCACCAAGGGATTGCCAGGATGACCACAGACACAAGGTCATAGGCGGGCACAGTCGAGTGAACTTCGGAGGCGAATGCCTTCTGCCAAAAGGCCGTGTCCATGAGCACCAACGCAAGGTTCCCGAACTTCAACACCAGGCCGAAAAGGAGCGCTGTAACATGCACATTAGCATAACTGGTTGACACGCCATGACCAATGTTTCTTACAGCTCTTGGACTTCATGGTCAACAGTGAGCCCTTGTAGTTTCCGGGGATATAGTCGTTTGTCGCCTTGACTTTTTCGTACAAGCCCGAGATTCCCCCGATGTGCTCGTTCGTCAAGACAGCAAGAGAAAAGTAGATCAGCAGGATAAGAGCGATGAGCGTATGCAGGTAATCGGTTAAGAAAGTCGCCTTTAAACCGCCAACTGCTGTATAGGTGACAACTGTAGATGGAAAGGTCAGTATTCGCAAAACATAGTTGGCCTAGACCGACTTACCTCCAGCAGGAATCAGGATACAGGCAGCGATAACGTGCATTCCGGTCATGCCAGTCACCAATTGAGCCCCTGCGAGGATCATGCTGCCACAACCAAAGACGTTGTTGACCAGGTTGAGGAGAATGAACAGCCAATGCGCGTATTTTCCGTATCTCATTCTGATGATCTCGAGGGAGGTATGCGCATACGGAACCCGCAATTTGGCAACGATTCCAAGCACCGCCATGAGCGCAATCTGAAAGGACAGTCCACTGGCCCACCATATCGGTAACGCGACGCCCCAACGGTAGGTATAGGCAGCCGAAAAGACGCTCTCATTGATCCACATCCTAGGTAGATCCATCATGGTCAACACTTGTAGACACCACGAGTATTCAGACTTACCAACTCGAGAAGACAGCCGAGGCCGTCAATCCAGTACCAACGGAACGGTTGGCAACCATGAACATCTCGGACTGATCGCTGTCCTCCGAAAGGTACCTCTTCTGGATGCGGACGGCGGCCAGGATAATGAGGCAGAACAACACTGAAAGACCAATGATGATGCCATAGCCATCGGCTTGGGTGAGGAGTTGCACGGCCATCTTGGATCTCGAGGAACCCTAGCAATGGAAAAGTGAGATGAGACGATATATTCCGTGGGGATTCATCTTCGAGCTACTTATACCGTTGCTGCGGTATATGCATCCACAAGCCACGTGATATGGAACCGACTCCCATGCGGTATCATCGATGTAGTGCTGACCTGCCATTCCGTACCGGGGTAAATAGCGAAAGACCGGCAAGGTTATCTTCTGAGTGTCGAGTTCGAGTTCTTTCATTTGCTGAGACGTCTGCGTGGATTGAAAATCGCGTGCTGAGGTGGTGGAGCAACGTGATTGCGTTATGCGGCTGTCGCAGCACGCCATGAGAAGTCGAAAGACTCCCAAGTCCGCATATGATAAATCCTCATCAAACACGGCGAGTGTGCTAGACAATTAGCTTGATGCGGCAATTGACAACGGTCGACTTAGGCTGTGGCCGTAGAAACAGACCTCTGCCGTGTGTTGGAGCCTTGATCCTTGTAACCGACTCTCGCCTTTTCCGTGCCACGTTGGTCATCGCTTCCGAGTTGAAGTGAATATCAGACTGAGCCTGGCCCCACTGCAGAAAAGTCACAGAGGTACCGGTACCAAATAAAATCACTAGTATATCAGTTTTCTCTATCCAAATTCTGGCACGCAAAGACCCCCTTAGCACAACAAGGGCGAGTACCGAGTTCGAATCCCGATTCCACCACAATCTGGGTCCTGTCAGGTCAAACCTAACTCCGGGTTAGCAGGCATCAGGACCCCGATTCGAATCCTCCTCCTTCCCTCGATCGATCGATCCGACGACATCAACCATCGTAGTAAAAAATTCGTAGTATAACCGGCCGGCCGAGAAAAAACCAACCCGCAAGGGCGAGTTTTCCTTGACACAGACCAGTAGGTTGAGCTGTTCTGTGTTAAGTTTTTGCCATTTTGCGCGAGATCCAGGGGGGGTTTTTCTTTCTGAGATTTTGTTCTTGTTTGATTGTGGGAGGCGCAATAGGCACTGGCCCTGTTAGAGGGAAGGTATGGCGCGAGGCTGAAAATGCCTTTCACACGAGAATCCCGCCGAGGTCATGAACTGGAAGGATCAACAGTCTAGTAGGATTCTTCCGATAAGGGACTTCAAGAGTGAATATGGATGTTCTCTTCATCAACAATATCAGTCCCCCAACCGTGTCAGAACTCCGAGGGGATCTGATGGGCGACCCTTCTGGGACTCGACAAATTCTGGGAGTCTTTGTACAAATCTTGTCGATCACCGTTTGAGGTGAACCGTACAGGAGGAGGCCCTTGGTAGAACATGCCTGAAATGTTGCGTGGATAGAACAAGGCGAGATGACTTGAAGCACCCAAGCCGGTCTTTGCTGGAATTGGACTAGCCCCGGCGCAGGCAAATGCTTCTATACTTCTCTTTCTCTCTGCACAGGAGAAGTTTACGAGAGACACAAGTACATGTCAAGCTACTATGCTCGTGGGAAAAAATGGTTTCTAGGTTCGCTACACAAGTTACACAGGTAATCTTCCTCGCATATGTACACACGCTTTCCAGGCGCACACAAATCAAACCAGCTCCACGTCCTCTGCGCGCTTCTGCCCAAAATAAGCCCATTTACTCTCCGCCATGGCAAAGGTCGTTATTCTCGCCGGAGCCGACTTGAGCCCCGGGGGCAGTTTGCTGTATATCTCGTATATTTCGTGCATGCTGTCCCTCTCTTTTCTCATGTGGGGAAAAAGGTCGCTGCTGCTCGTACGAGGCAGAGGTGGCGGTGTCTCTGCGCGGATGAAGTCGTCCATCTGAACCCCAAACTTCCCGCGCAAAGGTATACAGGGTTCTTCCTCTGGCATTCTGGGATGCAACATGTTCGCGGACGGTAAGGGCACTGAAGTTTGTGGAACGAATACATCTTCCAGCTCCAGCTCTCGTGGTAGTGGAGGCGGGGATTCTGCCTCTGGGGTTCTAGCGCGTTCGATTGGTGGTGGCGAGAGCACTGGGCTTGGTATTGGTCTTTGAATTGCTGCTGTCGTTTCAGGAGCCACTGCGGTTTCTGTCAGTGGCAGAGACACGTTGATATCCGGTTCCGCACTCTTCAGTCTCTCTGCCTCAAGTCTCGTCTTGATTGTGTGATATACCGCGAACAGGAAGGTCAAGGTGCTGAAAACCCCCACAATTCCCAGGATTATGAGAGCGGAAAGTGGCAACATTTCGCGGCCGTGAGACGCCCTGAACGGTCGAGGTTCTATTGTCAATGAGCCGGCTATGACATACACCCAACAAAGATGGTTAGAAGGTGATCCGCGGTGACCGACAAGCCCGGTGCTGCCTGGCTCTCTTTGAGGTGAGAGGAACAAAGAACTCTTCCTTGGTCAACTCTCTGGTGCACCGAAACAACCACTGAAATGAGGACAAAGCCGACTGAACGGTTTCAGCGTCCCAAGACTGTGCGGGCGGCAGATGATACTCGCTCTGTCAAAGAAGGTGACCTGGTGAGATGTTCCTATGTAGTGATGGGGTTTGCCATGACGTTCCCAAAGACTTTGTCATCCACTGCATTTCCAGCTGCTTTCTTCTTGTCGTGACGGATCTTCAACGCAAAAAGATAAACGATGGCGAGAATCAGACTCCGGCGAACATGGAAATGAATAGCCAAACGACTGGGCTCATTGTATGATCGGACGGAGCCATTGCTTACCAGGAACAAGCGGTTCTGAGTGAGATGCGACTGTGAAGGAATGAACTAGAGAAGCAGAGTTGGTTGTTCATACCTTTAAACACGACATGGAATCTCGTTCGACCTGGGATTCTGTATGTCTTCTTTGTGATTGTTTCCGGAAATGGACGAGCAGGGCTTTGTCCAAGTCAAAGAATCATCAGGGGATGCCATTGATCGGAGCACTGTGGCGTACGGTAGCGGAAGAACGATGGCTCTTTCATAGAGCCATGCATCAAGGAAAGGTGACTTTGTAGTTGGGAACCTGCTTGTTCTGCCTCATGGCAGCATCGCAAAACAGCTGAGCATGAAGGCATTGAGAGGTCTCAGCACGAGATTGCTCATGACTGTAAAGCCAGAACTCAACCTGAGTGTTCGAAGTGAGGTGATAACTCTCAAGATGAATGATGAGGAACCCACAGTAAATGTACATCCGTTGATCAGGTCCTGAAGTCATCATGTCCAGGTCATCAATTCAAAAGACAGCGTCATTTGATATATGCACACACTTTACCGAATTTGGGTTAGACCCGATTTCATGGCCCCCTGATCGCGACTTTCAAAGTCCCGCAGCAGCGCAGAAACCGCGTCGAGCGCGCAGGTTACAACCTTGCCATCACCAACCCTAGGTACTCTCAATCTCAATATCCAGCTTCCCCTCATTATTGCTGCTTCGCGACCCAAGCACTTCGTCGACATTCCCTACTGGACTCAGGAAAGATCCGGCAAAATCAACTCGGTACACCATTCCTCAGCTCGGATATTCCCAGCCACCTCCATCAACCCAGCGCAATGTCCTTCCTCCTTTCACCCGCCAGGCGCTTGACGTCGACGCTCCCCTCCCTATCACAGCGCACATTCTCAACGACTCGCCCGTCTCAACTGGCCCGCATGACCCTGGTGGGGAGGCTCGGCGCAGACCCCGAACTCGCAGATACCGGCAAAGGCCAAGTGATCAAATATGTCGTGGGCACCAGTTACGGTCCAAAGGAGAACCGGCAGACGTCGTGGTTCCGCGTCGCCAGCTTTGCGCCAGAAGGTTCGCCCCAGCGAGATCTCGTGATGGGATTGACCAAAGGGTAAGCACATCGGTCACACCTTTTCCAACAAATAACTGATCCCTGGCCCAAACAGAACCCTGGTCTATCTCGAAGGAGATGCCACCATGCGCACCTATGAGGACTCAGACGGCAAAAAACAGAGTTCATTGAGTCTGGTCCAGACAAAGGTCGAAGTGTTGAAGAGACCGCAGCCAAAAGAGGAGGAGATTGCTTAGGAAGGTGTCAGGCTTTAACTACTTCGACACAGCTCAACTTCCTAGGTGCATTCGTCATTCGCTCAGGTCATGAAAGTTGGACGATACGATGCTGTTCCTGATTATTGTATTGGATCCCTTCTCCGACTGTATTTCGCCACTCTTGGGTTTGCTGGGCGGTGATGGCAGCGCCAGTCACCTACCAGCGGGATTATCTAGGAAAGATATGTATTTCAAAAAGCCGAAAGGCCTGTAATCAACGAGTGTTTCAACAAAGCGACCCATTCAAACCTGACTCGCAGAATGTACTTCCATCAATTGTTTGTTCCTGAGGTTGATGGGTGTGCCGCCGGGTTGTGGTTGTCTAGATGAATTTCCTCCACAACGAATGTGACATTTACCTCATCTCCAATCAAAGGGCTGTGGCGAGGTGAATGATGGGTTGTGCCGACATCTCTTTTGGACCCTCCACATAGGACGGCCCTCGCTCTTTCAGCCCACCGCTTGTACATCCGGATCGCATCCTGACCTAATCCGAAGCACACGAATGAGATATATGCCGTGACGACTTGTGCCCAACGGTCAAAGGTAAATGCCTGCGATGCTGCTTTCGGGTTGGGATCCGGCTGTAGGATGATTCTCTCCGACCAGTCGGAGGGATGGATGTATGACCAGGAATACTTGTGCATTGGCACACGAACATTTTGCACAAAGGCAAATATGGCCAGCGGACAATGCATCGCCAGGAGGGCGAACGCAAGTGCGAACAGCCGGAAAAATCGGGAGGCCGTGGCGCCAGGGGTGTGCGAGAGCAGGGCCGAAACCTGTTTGCGATGCCGCGAGAAGCGAATGACCGAGATCAGGCAGTAGATGCTTCCGATGACACAGACAACCATTGGCCAGCCGTAACTGACAAAAGGGGCCACCCAGTTGTTGTCGTAGGACGGCACACAGCCCGCCACCGTTCTGAGCCAATATCTTTCTCTTTGAACCAAGTAGTGGCCAACCATGACGAGTATAGGCAGTAGAATGCAAAGCAGAAGCTCTATCGTGCGAGTAGTCCTGAGATCTTGCGGACAAGGGGTAGCGGTCATGCGGTCCGGGTCGAGGATTATCGAAATCTGTCGGAACATGCTCGCGATGGCACCAGCAGCGGCTTGAGATATCCCAATGTAGAGTTTGACTTCAATATCACACAGTATTTTCCCATCCCACCAGTCTTCAGGGTTGTCGGACGACCATATCACCGCGTTGACGACGTTTTGGATGTTCAGGATGGTGATCCCAACAAGGAGGACCGAAGCTGCAAGGTTCTTAGCGCGTAGTTGCACAACTATTAGAGGGATGGCTGCAAAGATTGCCAGTAAAGCCAGTGGCACGACGATCATGGAAGAAGGATCCCACGCCATCGTTCCTGTATGAACAGATATGAATGTCCTTCTCCCACAAACAGAGAGATGAGAATGGGATGAAGAAAACCAAGGATGGGTCAGTGGACATCATCTCTCGCATCCCCCTTCCACCATGACGGCACTCCTCGTTGCCTTGACTCAACTCACTTGTAAACCGTGGTCCATATGGCTGGACTGGTGGGGCTTCTCAGATATCTCAGAGACATATTTCCTAAAATGGGTTTGAATAAGGCTCTGCTCAAGGCGTAGTCCAGCAAACCGTGCTCGCAAGTCGCAAACAGCTGTACCTTCTAGTCCTTAGCAACTCACATGTTTGAAATCCATGCCGTCCCATCCTTGAAAGACATGGTTTTCGTCGGCAGGTTGAGACAGCCCGACATTTGAAGCAAATTCAGCGCGTAACAGGGGCCTCGCTGAGGGTGCCTTGACTGAGGGTCCTTGCTCAGTTGCGCTCGCCGAAAATGAAGCTAAATTCATCCGAGTGGTACACTTGACCCGTGGGTCTAAGCAGCGTCGTGATACTGAAAGTACTAGGTATAGCGTGGTGTATGACTATGAGGACAAGAAGAATACATGGAAGATGTTGGTAGGGATCCCGGAACAACCTCGGAAAATCTCATGAGGTTCCAGAGCCAAGAATTACGGTGAATCATTATCCCGACTCCGGCCTTACTCTCGGGTGCCGGCTTGTCAGACTTGTACGTGAGACTCATCAGCCTTCCAGACGTTGTTATTGATGGGCCACTCCTTTGCATCCTCCTTCGCGATCGCAAACTCTTGCCGGCGCTAATCTCGGGCTATATACTGTGCCTGGGCTCTTCTGGAGCGGATTTTAATGACTCTTGCGTCCTCATCGTTCTTCCATCCACCTCTGATCACCCGAGGATGTTGTGACACGTCGAAACACCCGCGGAATTCCAATCCGCCGGACTTCCTCCTTTGCCCATAACTCTATACCTGGAACCAACACAGGCATTTCACGACCAGCATCATGGCATCGGAGAAACGTCCCTCCATCGCCATCCCATCAATTGCTTCATCCGGTCGGCAAGTCAGTCCTTCGCCTCACGGCTTGAGGCAGCGACCGTTGGGAAGAGCATCTACCTTTGCGGAAAGCAACCCTCAACTCAGTCGCCGTCGAAGTTCATTTCTCTCTGAAACCTTTTCAGAGACGCGTAAATCACTGCGCTCGTCTACGGACGATATACTCCTGCCGCGGGCGCGTGACGATGATGACTTTCACGACCATGACGACAATTCTCACTGGCAGTCTTTGCCACTCGGTCTTGCTCTGCTTCCCGCTGTGGGCGGGATGTTTTTTAAGAACGGTAGTGCTGTCATTACGGATGTGACATTGCTGGGCTTGGCCGCAATATTCATGAACTGGGCCCTCAGATCTCCTTGGTAAGGAACGATCACTTTGTGTGATGAGCGTCGACTTATGACAAATTTAGGGACTGGTATCGTGCAGCCCAAGCCACTGTGACGGCAGACGCAGCCACTCCTCCCGTATTCAGTCCGATCGATGAAGCGGGCGAGGATCAGGATCCGCTATCAGTGAATGGAAACGGCGAAGACGGTACCGGTAAAGCAACGGCCAGCGCTGAAGCTGCTCGTGCTGGGCCTGGTACTGAGAGTTCAGCTGCGCAGAAAGAGCTCCGCGTCCACGAGCTCCTGGCATTGCTTTCTTGTTTTGTATTTCCTCTGATCGCCGCATGGCTTTTACACAGCATCAGATCCCAGCTCTCACGACCGTCGGAGGGCTTGGTCTCAAATTACAATCTCACCATATTCATATTGGTTGCCGAGATTCGACCCATCTCTCACCTGATAAAGATGGTGCAGCGCAGAACCCTATTCCTTCAACGGCGCGCGAACATTGATGTTCTCAGAGAGTTAAGTCGGATAGACACTCAGCAACTTCGCGATGTCTCCCGCAGATTGGATGATCTCGAGACACATGTCGCGGACCGCATTGCCGGCACCGGAAAACAGAAAGAGGATCATGAAAATCACGCACTTGTAACTCAAGCTTCTACAGCAGCCACATCTGAGATCAGGAAAACTATACAGCCAGAGCTTGACGCCTTGAACAGAGCCATGCGTCGTTATGAGAAAAGATCCACAATCTCATCTGTGCAGATCGAGGCAAGGCTACAAGACCTTGAAACACGCTTGCATGATGTGGTTTCTCTGGCTGCGGCTGCGCAGCGTAACGCCGATCGGATCCCCAACAACTACGTTCTCATTCTGGCAAATTGGGTCTGTGGTGCAGTTGTCGTCCCTGTGCAATATCTGCTCTATTTGTCCAGTCTTCCATCAAAGACGTTGTCATCGGTCATCGCAGTTCCAAAAAGGTACATGACAAAGAAGTCAAGACCCCAAACAGCGAAGGAAGGTCGCCCATCTCGCAAGGGTCCGCCGACTCGTTCTGTGGAGCGCGAACGAAGAGCGAAGGTCCCCCCTTGAATCACCTCAAGTTGAGCATTCTCTCGGCACTACAGAAGACAACGTTTTTTCTCTGGCTGTAATGGCTCTACGACGGAGGTTACTCACTAAGCAAAGAAGGTTAACCGGCTGCTCGTCCAGGGACCTGTGCTGATCACACACACCATGAGGGGCGTGCCATCACAAACCAGAATATGTTGCCTTTCGCCACGTGGACTAAATCTACCAACCGCGCAGCCTTGTCGCACTCGTACAAGTACATCGCTGTCGAGGCCGCGTCAAGTGATATAATGCCGTGAGCCGCATTATATCACGTGACGCATAGAGGTTCAAGTTCTGGATGGACAAGGTTGTATGATGCGTCCCGAAATCGCAACGTCGCAAGCATGAAGACACCTGGTATCTCAGCATTGATCTTTTGTACGCAAGCTGGCTTCCATCACTGATCTCGATTACGTTGTATCGCTTCTCGAATGGCAAGCTTCGACATCTGAGAAAGCGTGTATACCTATCTCCTCGCCTGGCTCGACCTCATATGGAACCAGTGGTGTTTGCCACTTCAGAATGGAGCAGGCATCAGCCCAGCGTGGGAAAACCCCGTACATGGAACCCAAGAAAGTGACAAAAAAGCAACAAAATGTAACAACAAGTATATTCTATTGCTTAATACTCTCTAGATCTCTGCACCCAGCTCTATTCTAGTACTCTTCATATAATATCAAGCTGTCCAAAGAACTAAAACCGGCGGCAACTCCACCTTCATCGCTGTCCTTCCCTTTAGTCCTCAAGAGGTAGCCACCCTCGGTGTTGTGTAGAAGTTCAGGCCGAGCGTCCCGCGTGTTTCTCCACAGACAGGTGCCGAAGATGCCCAATTCGGAAATGACGTTGCCGCTGAGCACCTGGCCGTCACTGCGCAAAACGGTATTCCTGGCTGTGGTGGGCGGGCGGATCAGCTCCATCAGGATGTACTGCTTCCACTGAGACTTGGGTATCGAGTTCAGAAATGGCGGGATGTTGGTGCGGTAGATGTTGTTGCCGCCGCCCTCGCGCTGCGGCTTCAGCACGTGGTTCGCCGCCGTCTCGGCGGAGATGGCCAGGCGTACTCCCTCCGGTTCGCCGGCTGGGTCGGAGCCGGGGGAAGTGGAGAGGGAGTATTGCGGAGCAAAAGTTGAGCGGAGGGTCTGCAGCACGCCCTCTGGTTGGGTGGGCAGGAAGGCCTTGAGATGATCCGTGTCGGGAGGTCTGGCGGTGAGGACTTGTTGGACTTTCTTGGTCCCGGCTAGGTGGAGGAGGACGGTGGGACATTTGACCGCCGCGCTGCGTTCCAGGTGGTGGCGAGCTGCCCACGAAGTCGGCGTGTTGTATTCCGTCGGAGCGTAGAGGGCACGGAAGTACACCACCGTGACCTCGAACGGAGTAGACGGCGACGATGGGGGAGTGTAAATCAACGGACGATAGGGATTGCTCTCCTTGGATGGGATCGACGTGTAGGCTAGGATCTTGCTGGTCGGGAGGCGGAACGAGGGGATATGATGGTGTTTTAACAGATGGGTAGACAGAGCCAGCTGGTCAAATACATTGCGCTCGTTGTCTTGGACGAGGAAGATAACGCACGTCGGCAGCCGGGGCTCTGATCTTGAAGGTCCATATGCCACATGAGCGGCTGCAAGGCCTGCGGTCAAGGTTTCCACGGCCTCGTTGGGAGGAGGATGCCCGATAGTATGAATAGAGCCGTCGCCCGTCGCGTTGGCAAATAGCGGATGCACAGGGTACGCAACTGAGTGCTTTGGGGAGGGGAATGTCGCAAGATGGGTATGCATCTCTGCAACAAGGCAAGCCAACCCGCCGAACGAGGAGGAGATGGTGTTGAATTCGACTTGTTTAAGGGATGGCGGCCCTTGTTCCGTGGTGTGCACCATATAATCAGAACGGAACATCCCCAGAGACAAGTCTTGAACGTAGCCCTCTTCCTTGACGGCAACGTGTATTTTCCAGAGATTTGCCAGGAAGTCGTCGACCTCTATTAGTCTGTATAGGGTCAGTCTTGAAAGTGTTTGCAGCAGGCCATTCCTTGCCCATCAAGCAGCGGCAAAACAAAGAAAGTTCGGGGGATAAGACAAATCTGGCACAGTGGTCTACTCACTCTCTCATAATCTCTTCTAGCCATTGCTCGTCGCTTGCAACGCTAGCGTAGAGTTCATTGTAGACCGGCTGGATGCTTTTCGCCAGTTCAAAGCACGTCTTGGGAAACGGGCTTGGAAACAAGGTGACTGGAGCATTAGTAGCGAGAACATTCTTCGGATTCGTCTCCTCGGGGACTATGGCGGCGGATGGCCTGACCGTAAGTCCATGCTCTACGGCCCAATTCTTCACTGTCTGGACAAGGTACTCCTCCTGCTCAGGTGTCAATGCCGGAGGATAGTCATGGTAGACTTTATTGGCTGCGTTATCTGTCATGGTCTTGAGGGTCAGCAAGGTGATTGAGAGTTTGTTGAGCGTAGTGCGACCGCAGCTCTAGAAGCTATGTTGACCCAGATGAAGTTGTTCTCCCACAAGATCTGTCTGTACTTGAAGTTCGCACCCATAACACATTTTCTGGTGTCAGTCTCGATGAGCCGATTAGTCAGCAAGATGTCGTGGGGCTCGCTATACTTTCCTCTCTGGCACTCGCGTAAAGTGGTTTTTCGCGTGGGCAAGGCTGAGCCAGGCTGGGAAAGCGCTGAGCAAGGCCCGGCAAGGCTAAAACGCACCTGCAAGCCAAACGGGGCAAAGCTTCACTTTCTTGTCACTTCAACTGCCACAGTTTGGCTAGACGCCCTCCCCAGTCTCTTTCGATTCTCGGCCCCTCGCTGCGTTCTCTTCGTCGACCCAATCCGCACAACAAAGACTTACTCTTTTCTTTACCATATGAACAATCTCCTGGCTGTCGCCCTCTCTCTCAGAGGGCAAGGAGTTGAGTGGCGGCCTGATCCTCCTCTTCAGCCTTGTCTCAACCAACATTCCTTCTCAGTGCGGTTTCGACACGTTTGCGCCCAGGCGACTGACACCCCTCTCTGTGGCGTTGCCTGCGCTTCACTTCCTACTCGGTTTCCTGGTGCCGTCCCGGACTCGCCAGCTTCTCATTTTCCATTTTATTTTGACCTGTTCCTGTGCCATCCTCATTCTGCCCCTGTGACACCTACCTGATGGTGCCTCAACATGGATCCTGTTCTCGATGCCGACGATGATCCACGGGACTGGTCAATCGATCAAGTCGTCCACGAACTCTGCCAAAGCCCAACCCCACGTTGGCTGTCAAAGCAGAAGCCTCAGCTGATCCCCGACCGCCATGGCCTGGAGGATGCGCTTCGGCGAAACCACGTCGATGGGGACAATCTCCTTGCTCTCGACATGCCAACTCTGAAAGAAGACCTAGGGATATCATCTTTTGGTCAGCGACGAGCCATTATGAAAGCTATTGAGTTCTTCCGGGCGACATCGAAAAGTTACCAGCAGATGTTATTTCAGGCGGACAGCATTGCCAGGATGCACACAGCCACCTTTGCCTCCCCTCAATTGACCCAGTCTCGAATATCGATCGTCCCACAATCTCCTTATGGTCTCGGCGTTCAACCGTCTATCGAGCCTTCACATTTGTTGCAATCACCCATAGCGAGCCAGCAGCAGAGCGCTACTAAGGATCCTACTTTCATCTCACCTAAACTCGCGACTTCCAACTTTCAGTTATCCTCGGACTCGACTCCTCGACCTCTACATTATCCTCCCCAGGATGTTGTACAAACAAGACCAAGCCCTACTGCCGCAAGCCTATCAGGGGATGCTACGGTAAACTTGGCGAGCAAAGCCTGTGATCAACTGCCTCTCTTACAACAGCCAGAAAGAGAAAATAGCCTTGTAAATGGCAAGAAGAAGATCGCCCCAACTCTCGTCTCTCATTTACCAGAGGCAACTCCAACAGAGTCGAGTCGCGAGAGCTACCTCGGACAGGAAGCGCTTCCTCTGCAAGACGTTTTCTACTACAAAGTTCCGACTGGATTTACGGATGAGATTATCTATCGAGTTGCTGCCGAGGAACCAGAGTCATTCGTCATCTCAACCAAGCGTCCTTCCGGACAATGTCGCATAATAGCTAGACTGATCAAGTCTTTCCTACGCCAAAGTACGACTACTCTATGGCAAAGCGGGCAGAAAATCAAAATACCCTATGACAGGTCTAGGATTAAACCTCCGTACTCGGAACAATACTTCACTTTATTCCCACGAGGCAAGGATCGGGCTAGAGTACATAAAGTAGAAGACTTTACAGAGCTCAACGCCACTCAGGATAATCATCGGCGAGGTTCCGCCAGCATTGCTCCCGACAGCTCCAATGCAACGTGGTTGGAAGAAAAGGTTGTTGGTTCAAATGTGTTAGACCTGGACTACCTTCTGGACAAGTACCCAGTTGAGTCATCCGATGGGCTTCCTCTCTATGGGGATTCTGGAGATGAAAATGATCTCGACGAAGACACGTGGAGGCAAATAGAGGAGGAGAAGGCTGAGGAAGAGGAATTGCCCCGCACATCTATCAACCTGGCGCCAGTCGAGGTTGAGGTCGCGATCAACGATGCCATAGACGAATGGAAGCAGGAATGGTACGCAACGAAGTTCTTCGCTGTCCAGAAGAAGGGCTATCGCCACTGGCTAAACGCAGCTCGACAAAACAGCCGAAAAGAAAAGATCGCATATTTCAATCACTGGAAGACTCGGTTTCTGGGCCGACTGGAGACCCTCAAACGCGAGATTGCCAAAAATGTGTGGCGGACGTCAGCCGAGGTTAAGAAGCAATGCCAAAGTCTCGAATTGACCGTTTATCAGTATCAAGAATACAATTACTATGGCCAGATCATGCTCCGAGACACTGCACCTCCAAAGCCCGATGACAAAGCACCAGTTCGGAGCCCAAGACATCACGCTCTTGAGGAAGGCGAAGAGATTCTCGAATCTGACTCTGAGATAGAAATCTCTACAGAAGGAGATGGGCAGTCGTTTGTGGATGACTCGTCAGAGGAGGGGTCCATTCATCACATCCCTGATAGTGAGGACTGGAACCCTGTCATCCCAAGTACAACAAAACAGCCCGATCCATCGGTTGTGGATCCAAAGACTTCATCTCCAGCTCCTCTCTCCAATACTCGCGAGTCACCACTACCTGACGTCCATGCTAACGATGCTGATGTTGAAAGCGACACCGAGGACGAGATCATCACACCAGCACGTCGAAAGGTAAAGCGCATGAAGACAGAACCAACCCAGACGCCGATTGCTAAACGTACCAATGTGAAATCGAAAGCCCCCAGGCCACAACAACTCCCTTCTGATACCTCAGACCTCGATGGCTCCCCACGTCTTACGAACTCTAGATATCGAAGCAAAGGACGCTCTTCAGCCCTCGTTGATCTGACGTTCAGTTCTCACTCAGAGCCAGAAAGAATCGCCAACGACACGTCCACCGACTTCAGTGTTCATACACCGAAACTCAATCCAATCCGAGCTGAGACTCCCCAGGACTCGAGTAGTCGTGTTCTTATGATTGACTCATCTGGTTCTGAAGCGGAGCGCATATCTTCTCGGGATGACACTATCTTACCAACAGTATACGATTTTCAGGGTATACGGCGTACATCATGGTCAGATATAGACCCCATCGATAAACGAAGAGCGCTTGCAAAGGCTGTGTACGACCTTGAGCCAGATCAGGTCTCCCGGCTGGATTCGTTTCTTGATTCTATGACCGGTTCTCGCACCGCCCAGGAGACGGTTATTGTTGACGGACTCGTCGCTCTACACGAAGATATACCCATCATAAAAGGTCTGAAGCAAAAACATCAGTTGAGTGCTCAATTACTGGTGCTACTTTACCTAACATACATTTGTGGTCAAAATGCGTTGGACGAGTTTTTTGAGCTGTCGGAAGCCCACAGAGACGAAGCATTTGCGGACAAAGATCGCGCGCTTGCTACATTTTACAGTTTACTTGAGAAGATCATCTTGACATACTTCGCAATGCAAACCAAGCTTCAAACACAAACCAACGGCCAGAAAAGAAAGCGAGATCAAACCTCTTTATCCGTTCCTGACGACCAGATAACAGACGCGACTTTGACTGATTCGTTGGAAGAGGTTCAACCTTCGTCTCACAAGAAGCGTAAGCGCAAGGTGGAAGAAAGCCAGGAGGCAAAAACCCAACAATTCACGGACCAGGTTAGGATTCAATTGCAAGAAGAGCGACGCAAGAACATGGCCAACAAACTTGCCCTTATGCAAGTCGATGGAAGTGCCGCCTACATTATCAACACGGTAGAGCCACCAGTTGAACTTCACCGACATATCGCTCAACGTGTCAAACCTCATCAAGTCAATGGCATTCAATTCATGTGGCGCGAAATTGTCGAAGATCCAAAACGTCAGGGTTGCATCCTAGCACACACAATGGGTCTCGGTAAGACGATGCAAGTGGCCTCTCTGCTAGTGACGATTGCTCTTTGCAATCAGAGCAATGATGAGAATGTCAGAAACCACATCCCAGAACATCTACGAAAAAGCAAGACTCTTATTCTTGGCCCTTCTTCGCTCCTCAACAACTGGGAAGATGAGCTTCTGATGTGGACCCCTGACCCTACTGTTCTAGGCGTAATTCACAAAGCCGATTCGATCAGGAAACAAGACAACATCAGAGCGATCAAAGCCTGGACTAGGCAAGGCGGTATTCTCCTGATCGGATACGAACGTTTTAGATCATCAATCACTGACAGCATTCGCGCGAAAGCAAAAGGCACTGGCTTGCTCGAGCTTGACCTTGAACGGATTCTCTTAGAAGAGCCAAATCTTGTCATTGCAGATGAAGCTCACGTACTGAAGAACCCCAAGTCACAGATAGGCCAGTTTGCCAAACGCTTGAAGACAACAAGCAGAATTGCGCTATCGGGTTCACCTCTCAACAATCATCTCGAGGAGTACCATACTATGGTAGACTGGATCGCTCCTGGTTATCTAGGAGATATGGTCCAATTTCGCTCCAAGTACTCGGAGCCTATCATGGAGGGACTTTATTCTGACAGCTCGGCGTACGAGAAGCGGATATCCCTTCGAAAATTACATGTACTCAAACGAGATCTTGATCCCAAAATCAATCGAGCTGATATCAGCGCCATTGAGAAAGATATGCCCTCGAAGACTGAGTTCTTCATCACGATTCCCCTTACAGACTTGCAGAGACAGGCATACGACATCTATATTCATCATATGCTGCAGTCATTCGGGGTCTTATCGTCGAAGAATCACCATGCCAGAATTATGGCATGGCTGTCAATGCTCTCATGGCTCTGCCACCATCCTGCCGCGTTCGTTGCAAAAATCAAGGAGCGTCAGGAAAAGCCGAGAGAGGATCGCTATTATGGCAACGACACTGGCGAGCC